CTTGTCTTCACTAATGAGTTTCCAATGCAAATTTTTACCTGCAACTTATGTTGGATTTTACTCAGAAGAGCTAAGCAAAAATCAAAATTTTAGGAACAGATGCATTTAAAGACCCCAGCACCACCACTATAACAGTATCAGCAGGTTGTGTTTGTAAACCATATGTGACTCTGCCTCTGGTATTTTTGTTCTTGCATGCTTTTGCAAAGCGTTACAACTTTCTGTTGGTTGTAATCACAGAGCCTGAGATTCAGGCCATAACCTGTGGAGCACCTTGAATTAGGGGATGCTTGTTTCTGACTGGGTCAAAAAAAACCCCTCCCAATTCTCAAGGGATGCAGTCTGCACCCAGTCATTCATGGGGATCTAAAGAAAATGTGGCCAAATACCAAGGAACAAAGTAAATGTTGTCTTGGACCCCAATCCTCAGCATTTCTCAAGTTCTGTGTGAAACCAACCTTACCACATGGGTTTCTGCATTTATTTCTCAGACAAAATTCACCCTGAAATGAAAAAGGATTTTTAGAAGCCAGAGGGGATTCCAGCCAAGAAACTAAAATAATGTTCATCAGCAAAATCTGACCCAAGGCATTATTGAGCCTCTTACACCTGTGTTATATATCAGAAAAATTCTTCCCAGAGAGCCATTCTCCATAACAGCCACTGCTTATTGCTCTGCATTTTGCCATAAGCCAAGTTCATAAATGTATTTTTAATTGATGTAATGGAAGACTCAGAATTTGGGGGGGGGAAAAGGACTATAATTCCTTCAATTATGCTGAAATATTTCAGATCATTTTAAATAGGTGTCTTCTCAAAGGCTTTGCTCTTTCTTCATTTTTAGTACTTACCATAAGCTATTTCAGATGGGAGCTCTTTAAAAGTCAGAACATCAATAAAAGGTTGTTAAAAACAGGCTACCCTCTGGTTAGCTTGGGGTTTTGCTAAAGCTGTGTTATGTTACTGAATGCAGGTGTGTGTATGCACCTGTGTGCCTGTGTCTATATGCACGGAACTAACAAAAAAACCGCATGAATAAAAAATCACCTGCTACCTGTCTGCTGCTTACTGTACGGCTTAAGTGCTTCTGCAATACTGAAAGCACAAGTTCTTCCAGCATGTGAGAACAAGCAAGTGAATTTGCCTGACAGACAGGAAACAAAATCTGTTCGTGAAGACAGACTGACAGGTCAAGTGCAGGGAAGTGGGAAAAGGGGAATCCAGGCTCCCTTTTAAGTTTGCTTAATAATAAGGTTTTCTTCTCTTCCAAGAAAATGAAAGATTACATTCACACAGGTAAAGGGCTTTTTAAATTTGATTGTTTTAGCTGAATTTCTTTATGCAATTTTCCATTTGATTTAATTCTATTTAGTATGATAAATGCTGCTTAATCTGAAATTCTTTTTTTCTTTCATTTTCATGTACGAAAAACAGAGATGAAAGATTAGCTTCTAGTGACCTGCATCAAAATATAATTTGGCTGGAAATGAAATGAATTTGGATTTAGCCGTATCTCCTGGATAGTTTTGCTGCAACAACAAATCTTCATAAAGTTAAGCTGCCTCTGCTCAAGGAGTGGAAGAGGTGTGTTCAGCTGAGCTGCGAGAAGCTCCTGCGGTCTCTGCCCTGCCTGCGTGTGTCTGACTGGAGTCAATGCCATCAGATCCTCAAAATGTAAAGGAATTTAGGATTTTAAAGTAAGATTACTGCAGCAGCTTTTCATGGTTTAATTATTTTATATTGGAGGCTGCTGAATGATGCGTTCGGTGAGCTGATTGCTTTTCAGAGAGCATTAAAAGATTTAGTTGCTCCCTGTTTCAAACATTTGGAAATTTTCGCGCTGGGATTGAAGGAAGCTGTGGAGCAAATCGTGTCTCTCTCCGGGCGCTGGCGGCTCGCTTCCTTGGTAGCTTGGGCTGTGTGGAAGGAATTGTGACAAAATGTAATTATTTTGGATTTAAGCTTTGTTGTACTTGGTCTGTGTTTTGTCTCTCGGCTGTATAAAAGGCAATATGCCCTGGCTGTTGGGTTTTCTTCATCGGTAAGTATTAATGGCAAGTATTAATACAGCATTTCCCCCCTGCTCTGCTGGTGGCACTGGTCTCGCTGGGTGCCCGCTGCCCCCCGGCTGGTCCCGGGCATGTGGCTGCCGTGGGGAGCTGGTGCCCCTCAGTGCAGGGTGGGCATCTCCATGCAGATGCCTCTGCAGATCCTGGTGTCCTTATCTACCTGAGGGCATTACCTGAAGCACAGGGTAACACCAGCGCTGAAACAGCAATCCGGGCAGCTTACATAGAATCATAGAATCGTTTAGGTTGGAAAAGACCTTCAAGATCGTCAAGTCCAACCGTTAACCTAACTCTGCCATCCCACCACTAAACCATGTCCCTAAGCACCTCATCTACCCCTCTTTTAAATACCTCCAGGGATGGGGACTCGACCACTTCCGTGGGCAGCCCGTTCCAATGCTTGACAACCCTTTCGGTGAAAAAAAATTTCCTAATGTCCAACCTAAGCCTGCCCTGGTGCAACTTGAGGCCGTTTCCCCTCATCCTATCACCTGTGCAGTTCACACACAAATCTTGGAGATAGTTTATATCAGTTGCACTCTCCCCTCCCCAAAGCGTTTCCTCATGCTCCTTCTGAAGCATCAGCTGTCTCACCAGCACTTCCCTACAAACAAAAGATTGATAGGTTCATAAAGTAGAAGTTGAGGTGGTGTTTCCCCACTTTCTGCTTTACAATTTAGGTTTCTGAGTTGATTGCTTTTTCTCACCTTGTGGGATTTGCAAAAGGCTTGTCTGGTCAGTATTTAGAAGAAGCCCAAGTATCTGACGAGCCTTTTGAAAGCAAATCAAAAATTGAGTTGTCCTCTCTCATTCCTCCAAAGGTAGCCCTAATGCCAGTGCACGTTCTTTGACGGGATGTCTCCTACTCCACACCATGCAGACATCCCACCCGCCCATATTGTGGGGCAAGGAAGAAATCCTTGGCGCTATAAAGCTATAGAACATAGCTTTAGTTCTTTCAAATTCTGATGTTGGGACTTCGTTAAATCCTCTTTTATTGTGGATTTCACTCACTAAGCCATAATAAAATGGATAAATCTAATAACTTCTTTGGATTTGATTCCACTTGTACTTTCTCTTTCCTAAGCAGCTTTTTGTGTCATGAAAACAATGGTCCACTGTGTATTTAATAGTTTGTCTATGTAACAGTTAATCTCATGACATTTCTCTGCATCTGGAGGAAAATGCCCAGGACAATAATGCTGGCTAATAATATCAAACTGATGAGCAAAGAAATAGCACCCACATTCTCAGCTGATGATGTGGCAAATATCAAGAAATTCTGCAAAGCTCAAACTAAAGTAAGTTATAAATTGCACTAATACTGGCTAATGGATAATGAGATTCCATTCTAATGTTGGTAATGTGCAATGTAAGTGTTTGCTGTTTCTTAAATAGGATATCTTTGACCATTTAAGCAAGTCTTTAGCACCAAACGTTCATGGCCACGAGTATATTAAAAAAGCCATTTTGTGTATGCTACTGCAGGGTAATGAGAAAGTTCTCAACAATGGGACACGCATTAAAGGAGACATCAATATCTTATTATTAGGTAAGAGCATGTAGAGTTAATAGTGCATTGATAAGTTATTTTATTATCCCCCCTCCTCATCATGCCAGTGTAGTTCTGTTATACAATATTAGCAAGAAAATAAAAGCCAACCCAGTACAAAGACTCATTTCGTCTTATACAAGAATGTTTGTTAGTGTCTTAGGATCAATTTATTTTATCCTTGGGCACATTTTTACAATTATTTCTGTTTTGTCCCACACTTCCCTATTTACTTGACATCTGTTCTATGTTTCTAACTAGTGCCGGCATGATGCGCAATTGAGTCTAATCCTGCACGGCTCATTCGGGCGAGACACCCACTGATTTCACGAATGGGCTTCAGTTTATCGCTCAAGTTGATGGAACTATTCTACTTCTGGCACTTGTCGGCACGGTGGCTGTTCAGTTGCGACTTCATTCCCAAATGCTTTGTTTTCGGTACCCGTAATTAAGTTACATTAGCCTGACAACGCTAACCTGCTACCTCGCAGCTCCTGGCAGAGGTGTCAGCTTCCTTGCATAAATCAAGCTCTTTATTTCTCTGCAGAGCTTCAATCAAATATTTGATCGCTTGCTTTAAAAGTAGATTAACCTAAATCAATAATCCTTTTCAAATCTTTCTGTTTGAGTATGACTTTTCTCTCCTGAAGAGGGCAACTTGCACACTTACTTACCAGCAGTACTGAAACAGCGCTTCACCCACGCCACACTGCTGTGGCATTTCAACCACGTCAGTACAGATGGGATCTGTTACCCAACAACCCCTTCCCAAAAAGCACTTGCCCAGCACGTGAACTACCTTGCTGTGTATCCAAATATAGCACAGGTGGAGCCCCCAAAAATTCAAAGCAGTTGTATAATGGCACTCAGTGACATGCTAATGGATCTGCTGCACTCTGCAGTCCAGAGGACTGTCTATTAAAGCTTTAATACAGCCAAAAGTTGGTCCTGTAATAACATTCAAAGCTAGGCTGGACATAGGCATACTTTGAAATTTGGAATGAGAACGTAAATTTAAAAAAAAATATATATTCTTGGAGGATTCTGAAGCAAGAACTGTAATAAGGGAAGGGCAGTTTGAGCTTTTCTATCAGATTTATTGAAACAGTAGGATTTCTGAGGATGTCTTTAGTACCTACCTGTGTTGCACTAATGTCTGGAGGCGTGTCAGGTATGTAACAGTTGTGTAGTATAAACTTTTCCTTAAGAAAACAGTTGTGGTTCATATATATATGTATATATATAAGTGTGTGTATATATATATATATATTAAAAAAAAAAGTATATAGAGATATATAAATTTACACTTCTGTCCTTAGGAATGCCAACTTCTCTTTCTTTTCTTTCCAGTTTGAGACTGAAACAAACAATTGCAATCCTTACACACCAATACTGTTGGCATAACCTTACAAAGAGATAAAGCAATTTAGAAGTTAATCATTGGTGCAAGATTTCCAAGCTTGCTAAGATTTGGGAGCATTCTGGAGGGGAAATGCTGGAAAAAACAAACTAAAATTCTATAATGTGGAGGATTTCTTACCAGAGCCCTTCAACTTTGGGAACTTTAAGGCTCAAGCACATGTGTCTATAATGCTTTTGTCTTTTTTCAATTGCCTGACCCTGTGCTTCTGGAGATGCTGGTGGAGCACGGCAGGCTCCTGTACTTGGAAGAACAAAAGGTGTTGATTTGCTTTGCTCACAATTGTCTCCTGTTAAACTGAAGTTGAACATTGTACACCTCATGACATTTATATGGAAGCTGTGTTTCTGAATAATGTATGAAATAAAAGGCTGCAAGCTTAGAAAAAAAATGCACTAATGATGTCTCAAGGTACTTAGGTTTAAGTGAATGTTTTAAACTTTGGAAGATTTGATCTTCATTACTTGAAAAGCGGAAAAACTTTGACTCTTCTCAATATCCAGCTCAACATACTCACAACATACTCGCAACACTGTCAAAGGCATTCCTTTTACAGGGAAGGAGCTTAGAAAACACTGAATAAGAAATAATTACGAAGATCAAGTGGTAGCTTATAAAAGCTGGCTGTGACTGTCTTTCAGCTGCCTGGCAAACTGCATTTTTTGAGACCACAGCTCCAGGCCCCCCTGGAGTTAGCACTACCAGGGTTAGCATCCCCTGACCCATCAGCACAGACGCGTGGTTCTCCTGCTCCCACTGTCTTCATCCAGCTCTTGAGGCCTGTCTGCCAGCAGCGATGAAGGCAGCGGCTGTAGCGTTTTGGGGGTCAGGGGCAAAGAAGTGTCTCAGTGACAATTGTGGCAGTGGCGGAACAGTGCTGCCAGAGGTGCTGGGTTTGCTCCCACCCAGTGCTGTGTCCCTGCTTGTGGCTGCTGGACTAAACGGCACCATTGGGGCAGCAAAGCATCAGACCAACCAACAGGTACTGGTGGGTTGCCTTTTCTCAATCCGATTTGACAGCGATTTACTAGGTGCTCTTACTTAAACCTCATAATAGTCTGTATTTAACTGTCTTTCCAATAAATTGAGGAAACTGATTTCCCATTTCCTGGTAGTATTTGGGCAATTAATTGTAAAAATACTTCGTAAGTGCGAGAACATGTATCTCATTCAAGTTCGTTCCTGCCAGAGCTTGAAAGAACCAAGATTCAAGTTTACTGGAGCAATTAGCCTGTGACATCATCAGCAAATATTTCATGTCTATCCCTAACGCCCAGCTCAGAGGTCTGGGCACGCATCCTGCAGTCCCTGGATCTGAAGGGGATGACCATGGTGCTCTTCCTGCCCTCATTTCTTTTGCACACCCATGAAGAGGAGTCAGGGCCATGGCTGCTGGGACCCACAACATTTACCCTTCCCTAACAGTTTCATACTGCACATTTGTGTATTTGCGTGGGGTTGCCGTGTTGTTAAACGTAACTGAAGTTTGAGGTTTAATGACACATAAGCCTTGCTGCAGCTGGGGAAAGACCTTTGGCAAGGGTAATCCTGCTAATGCGTGGCTCCATCTGAGATGATCCAGACCCTTAGGAGTCCCTGGGTACGTCTTACACAGTGACTCTTGGGAGGGATGTGCAAAAATTACTCTGACTTCACCAGTAGCTACTTAAACTTCAAATACTTTCAGCACCCCTTGTGAGAAAAGCCAAAAGTGGTGGGGAAGGAGGGGATGTTTACCGCACTCCTGTTTAATAAACTAAGGGAAGTCGTGCACGCACAGATACTGTACAGGTGATTCAGCACAAATCAATCATGTACATGCTGAATAAAATGGTGGTAAAGAAAGTTCAGGATTTCTCTACTGCTTATTACACTATTTAATTTTTTTCCAGTGCTCTAAAACCAGTGTGCAAAAGGCTTTGGCCCTATGGCTGAAAGGTAGCAAAGTGCTTTGCTTTCCCCTTTAAGAGGTGATTCCCTAAACCGCTTCCACTGTCAGCAGGGGGTTGCCAGAAAGGCAGTTGACAGCAGCTGTAACTGCTGATTAAGAAACTGATGCTCAGCCTTGCATTTCCAAAGATATCAAACTTTCCATCTTTTGAGCTCTAAAACCCTCCTGGTGTGCAACAGGCCCTGCGTGCCCATGTGTGCATCAGCAAGCACCCACGTACCTGAGCTCCTGCACGCCAGCCTGTGGTGGTTTTTGGCAACAAAGCCTTGAAATGGGCTTGCTGCCACCTAATAAGAAATGGGAAAGTGTTTTATAGCTGGAGAACATTTGTGGAAAAAAAAAAAACCTAAAATTTTAGTTCACCAGATCATTGAGATGCTGTGGGAAATAAGTGAGAAAACAAATATGCAAGTAAGCCCAACTACAGGCAGTCTGAGAGCAATCTGACATGCCTGTGAAGCGGCTTGTGCAATATGGGTATAAATCAAGGAGAGTGGAAGCCAAGGTAACCTGCTCTTCGGAAAGCAGGTGGCACCACCTAATCTAGGCACTCAGGCATGGTTATGGCGTAAATGAAAGCATTTCTATGACTTTGCTAGCATGAAGGGTGGAGTGGCTTGCTCACTTGAACCCCAGGGGAAAAAAGGTAAATAAACCTCTGGGGAAAAAAGGATAAATAAACCTCTGTTCCTCCTTGCCCCACATTTCATTTCAGCAATACCTTTGAGGTTGCTGGGACCGCATTCAAAATGGATGCATCTGTGGCTATTTGTAATTCTCAGAAATTCAGATTTGTTCCAAAGCTCAAGATTCACTCCTGGGGGGAAGGTGGTTGCCAGCCAGTGCTCTGCAGGATTTTCATGGACAGGGGTGCAGCCAGTGGGAAGGTTTGGTGTCCAATAAATTGCTATGCAGTCACTCCCACCGTGTGACCTTGTGGGGACCTGGCCAGGAAAGACAGTGTGGGGCAGAGCGCCGGGACAAGGCAGCCCCACTTCTCCTGGCAAAGGGGGATTGGATGTGGGATGAGGAACTCCTGCCCAAGGGAGGAGGACAAATATTTATATCTGGTCTTTCTTCTGTGAAACAGAGCGTTGGTCTCCACCAGTTGTTCCAGCAAATCCTCCAAGGCAAGAACAACTCTTACTTATAGCCCCTGGCAGCAGCCTGTGCAGGGACAAGCTCTGCATAGGGACAGCAGAGCTGGCACCATGGGGTACCGCCACTGGCTTTGTTCCTGGCAAAGGCCATGGAAGGGGTTACGCTTCCCAGTTTTCTTCAGTCTTCCAGCGACAAAGTATATTTTGTGTGATTCTTGTGCCAGCGCAGCCTCCGCACCACCCTGGCTGCCAGTTCCCCAGACCTCCCCGAGGGAGAGAGCTGCCCAAAGAGGGTCTGCAATGCTGCGGCGGGGGCAGCTAGAGGTCTCACAGCGCTTGTCAGTGAGAGACGTGCGCATTGCTGTAGCCTAATGGAAATAGGTCTTAAAAGGATGCGAGCAGCAGTGATTGATCTTATGGTGAGGTGGGAACCTATGAAAAGCAGAGCAAACGGGTGGGCTGCTGAGCAGGGAGAATTGTTCAGGCTTCATCATGCAAAGGAGCATCTATCTGCCTGGGAGACACGGCCTGTTGACTACCATGCAGTGGCCCATAGCAGGTATTCACTATCTCAATTTAACTTTCCTTTTTTTTCCTTAGAGCTTTTTTTCCCCTTAAGGTAATTCATATTTTCTTATCCCAGCAGCTTTTCTTTTTCCATTCCTCCCAACCATGCACGCTAGCACTTAAGCATGATCCTGCAGTTGGCCTGAGTGCCTGCAGAGGTTGTTGCTTAACCAGCTGAGATGACAGATACTTTCATTTTCTGTTTCTCTCCTTACCTTCAGCTTACCCTGACAAATCTTTGCTGGTGACAAAGGCATGACAGCGGCAGCCAGAATGAAACCTGACTCTTCCAAGTGGCAACAGAGACTCCTACCACAGTTATTAAACTAAAGTTTATTAAACAACTTAAGAACTACCAAACTTAATAAAGTAATATCTTACTTAACACACTAAACTGAGGTTGCAATGTTATTTTGTGTAATTCATTACGCTCTGTTCTGAACGAGGAAACATCATTTACATGAGTGAAAGCTGTCTCCAAACCCAAGTGTTCACGACATGATGAGAAGTATGAAAAAAAAAAAAAAAGCAATCACAGATGAAGAGGGAGACATGCTGCTGACAAGATTTGATCTGCCTTTTTGTAGCGTAGACTGCATGGATCCAGATGGTGTTTAAAAAAAAAAGTCAATGGCAAATGCGCATACACAGAGCTCTAGCAGAACAAGATGGCTGGTTCTAGCTATGCATTAGGAACTGCTAAGCAGAAATGCTATTGTTAAGAAATTAATCTAGATGTTCCATCAGGTTGTTTAGAGATAAGATTCAAATCTGATGAAGAGTGCACAATCTTTATTTCCCATGAGTATTGCACTGGAAGAGCAATCATGTTTATGTATTGTGTGACTAAGCATTGCAACCCTGGGAAACAACAAAGTTTGATTTTGTTCTTTCAAGTTCCAGATATTCCAGTTAAACTTCTTTGATGCTGTTTTGTTTTCATAGTAGGTGAAGTCAAAGGCAGAGATCAAGCATGGACTGTTTCATCTCAAGTGGAAGGAGTCTAGGAATTAGTGAGCAAATGAAGATGAAAACTGGAATGGAAAGCTGTCTGCAAGCTTTATGATACCAGTTACAGTGTTCAGGTTGTGAGTAACAAATTTTGACTGAGGGAAAAAAAAGAAAAAAATCCTTCCATGAAAAAATAGAAATCAGTGGCAATGGTGATGGTTTTGAAGAAGTCTAATACAAAGGAGACCGAGCCATATGCACTCCAGAAAGTTAATTTGGGATTAGGAGGGGTGATCAGTCTGAATTACTGTGATCTTTTTTTTTCACCAGTTCATTCTGTTGATGCTCAGAAATGGGAGAGGACAAGGAAAGCAGCCACGTGGAATCTGTCTGCTGCAAAAAAAGTCATAATCTTCTCGCACAAAGTGAAGTATTAAAACTTGACTTTAGGGCTGTCTTTTGTAATAAACTAGAATGTATAAAAGAAGTGGGAAAATGTACATTTAATTTCTTCGTAATTTCTTCCATATTTTTAATTTCTTCATAATTTCATAGCACAAACTGAGCAAAATACAGCTATTTTGCCATTAGTGGATCAAATACTACAAAAGTCTCTAAGCAACAACCCTAGATTTAACAAATGGCAATTGATTGCATGACTGATCAGAAAATGCAGTTTATTTGGTGGTTATCTTCTCCTTTTGAGACATGACTCTCTATACTACCAGCACTTGAAGGTAGCTTGAAAATGCAGGCCAAGTAGATGGGAGAATTAAGATCCCGTTTATGAGAACCAAAGGTACTTTGACTGACATGTGGCATCTGTGTCTTAGCAAAAGCCCCTGAGTTCTGACCACAGAGGAAAAGGAGAGCTGTGGAAAAAAAAAAAAAAAAAGGAGAAATACCACTTCTCTGTTCTGATCTGCACCTAAAAAAAATGACAACTTGTGACTCCTGCCCTGCGCCCCGGAAAGGTGTCTGCCTGGCGTGGGTGGTATGAGACACCTGACATGCTTAGCTGAAATAAGAGAGCTAATGTCTAGGATTGGTCCCTTTTTTGCATTTAGACAATGCTGTGCCAGCCAGACAACTATTAGACATTATGATTCAGTTATTTGCGACTAGTGCAAAAGCTAGACTGAGCGAGCTGATCCGTGTGATGCAAATAGCAATGAAATTGGTCTAGTTTGCCTGTATGAGGAATATGAGGCTGTGTATACTGTTTAGCATAGATATTAGGTGGCATGCCTAAAAGATTTTCTGCAATGCTGAGATTCCTGAAGAAAGACCGATAAGTAGCTAGCCCAACAACCTGCCTTTTTTTTTTTCACTCCAAACGTGAGCCACTGACTTGAATGCTGAGGGGTTTTTGTTTTTTTTTTTATTTTTAAGCCCATGCTGTGACTCCTGATAGACTCAGCAGTGAGGAATGAGTCATGCACACAGCTCTAAATACAATGTGCACATACTCTGCTGGGTCCAGCTGTACAGCTAGTCCAGAGCCCAGAAGAGGAGGAACAGAGAAGACAACATTCACTTAAGCCCAGGCCTTTGCTGGGGGACAGCCGCCAGGTACCAGCAGAGACCCACACTTGAATGAAGGACGGGAGGGAGGTCAGTTGACCTGAGGAGTTGACATCCCCAGCTCAAGCCCTTGTTCTGCGTGTTGTGGGAACCCAATAATAGTGGTTTTTTTACACTAGCCCTGGCCCATAGAGAGTGGAGTGTGTCTGACCTGCGTGGCTGCAGGGATGCAGGCAGAGCAAATCCTTCTTGCAAATTATAACCTGAATCGCCACAACGCGAGAAGGACAGGAAAGAGAAGTGGAACTTTGTGCAGATTTTACGCTGGTGGGTTTTACTATCATATTAGTATCTCAGTGATTTATATGGAGAAGCTTACTTTAAAGGTTTTTAGGAAAAATTTCTGTGAATAAATCTGCTGTAGGAAAGTAAAGCAAAGACCCATGCTTTCTGAAGGGCTGCAAACTCACTTACGGCTCCCCGACTGCTCAATGCATTATCTTATCTGTGATCAATATCCATATTATCTGTAAATGTGTCAAATGTATGTCTCCAAAATTAAGCTATTTCCTTCAAAATAATAGATGCAGTCCTCATAACCATGTAGGAAAAGTCTTTGTAAAGCAGGGAAGATTCACCTAGGCTGGTGGATCTTCGTTGTTGTTTTCACAAGAAGTGACCATTACTGAGACACTGCAACTTCAACCAGTTAAGTTACAAATCCAGGTAAAGCATCTACTCATAAAGAAGAAAACCCCAGTCAAAATGCTTCATTTCCTAAACCGCATATATATTTCCAATCTCTTACCTCCTTTCTTCACAGAAAAAGACCATCACTGTAAGACAGTTGTACAGCTTTTGTAAGAAAACTGCATTTGTTCAGGAACTTGAGCTAGTAGTATAAATTTTGTGATGTACAATAAGGTGCAATATTGAATCTGATGTTGGACTTCCTGAGTAATTTTTTCTGCATTGAAAAGTGAGAAAAGAAGTATTTTCCACTCAAGTATTTTTAGGTCAGTTAATGACATGAATAAAACCTCAGTCACTTTTGGACCTGTGGAACACGCACACCACTGAAAAGTGAGTAGCTCTTACTTGCTGACTGGGAGATTCAGTTTTAAATTGTGCTACTGACTGATTCCCATTTGAAATGAATAGGCAGAAGCTTAAGGGGTTTTTTTTCCCATGGAAGTTTACCATTTCAGGACATACCCTATGGAATTTGTATCTTGTGCGATGTGTTGTAGTATATTGCCCTGTGTATTAAGCTTTTGTCTACTGAAAGCACAAAAAAGTTCACTATTCAGGTAGTATTTATGCTATTTCATGTAATACGTATTTCAAAACATAGACATGTTCTCACAAATCTAGTAGTTCACATTTGAAATTATGAAATGCTCACTGTTTATAACGGTAAGTATTTTAGCCAGGGTCGAATTTATGAACAGTCTCATTTGTGTCTTCTTAACTCCATGTAAATCTATGTGCATATCTTAATTGAAGGCACATTTGGAGGATTATTTGCATGAAAACTGCTGATGAAGACATGTCGAAATAGGAAAGTTATTTTAAGACATCTATAGTAGGGTATCTTGCTATCCAGGATGTTTGTTAGCTCTGACAAATCTTTGTTAATTTTGTCTGGCTGTTTTCATGAATCTCTGGGTTCCAACAAAAGCTAATAAACCCAGCTATGAATACTTTAAATATAACTACATTTCAGAGAATATTAATCAGAGGAGGACTACATACACAATGTCGATACAGAGCCATAGAAATTTGTTGCTTTGTGCCGTGCAGTAGCATTCAGAGGGAGACTAGCTCCCTCATCAAATTTCCATACATTTGAACTGCTCTTGCCCAGGTTTCGGGTAAATTGCACGACAAATGTTATGAACATCAACATCCATTCCAGGGAATCGAAGTAGCTGCTGACCTTTAAATGTGAACACATTCACATACCAGTCTACCAACCATCTGGTATGACCTGACATTTCTATTACTGGCACTCCTGTCTCTTGCAGCCCCCCTTCAAAACACTGCAAATGTGATGATCTCTGCCCATGGTGACTGCCATCTTCCTCTGCAAAATGTCCTCAGGGAAGTACACTTGGCTTTCTCTGGCCCGTCTCCTATTTCCATGCCTACTCTGTTCTCCAAATCCCACTGAATTGCAGCCCTCCTCATCAAGGGTGTTACGGGAGATGCCAAATCCAACAGACCCGGGATCCCTCCTCCCCAGCTGGTGTGCCCAGCCAGGAACGGTCCCAGGTGGTCTCTCCATCCCAGTCCCAAGGATACAGCTGCTGCTGTTCCTGCTTGCAGGTCTGGCCTGTAGCAAGATTGAGTGTCCAAGAGACAGACAGACAGGTCCCTAATGCAGCTGGCCGCACAGACTGCTGCGCACACATAGAACCGCTCAGGTAGCAGCACCCACCTATAAAGCTACCCAAACTCACACAGGTGCAGGCAGCCCCATCCTCTTCCTCCCCTCCAGCCGATCAGAATGGAGGTTCTCTGGTGAAAAAATGAGTGCTCTCATTCTCCGCATCCATAAGCACACCCACATTCACAGACCCCTTGAATGGTACCATGGCCTCTAAACCTGTTTGACATCCATGCCTGGACCTGGGGCCCCTTAGCTGGTACGCAGGTCACCTCCTGCTTGCCAGATAGGGCAATGTGATGCTTGCTAGCAAAACAGTTGCATACACTCACACACTCATCCCATAAGCACTCCCACAATCACAAGATCCCTTGAATATTAGCACAGGCTCTCAATCTGCCTAATATCTGTACCTGGACCCTAGGCTCTCTTACCCCAACCACTGGCTCAGACCAAGCCCTCCAGATGTGGAAATGTTTCCTCCAACTCACCAGCTAGTCCAGCTTGAAGTTTGCTAGTGAATTATGCATGCACACACAGAGGATTAAATTCACTGAAGAGAAATATAAACACATCCAGGTCTCTCCAGCTGCCAGCACTTAGACCTCTTACACACCCACATACAACCCGATCCTTCCAGTTGCTGTCACCCAGACCTACAGCCCTGGTGCCCATGGCCTCTTCTCCAGTTGCCAGCACTTGGACCTTTCAACACACATACGACACGCACACCCCAGTCCCTCCAGTCGCTGGGGTTTAGACCTACAAGCCTTACAACCCACAGTCCCTCCAGTTACTGGCACACAGGCTCTTGCATGCCAGCCCCTCCATGTGCTAGTACCAAGACCCACGAGCCCTAAGACCTGTGGTCTCCTCTGGTCATTGGCACACAGATCTCTTTTGCAGGCTGGTCTCTTGTCGTGGTTTAACCCCAGCTGGCAACTCAGCCCCACGCAGCTGCTTGCTCACTCCCCACACAGCGGGATGGGGGAGAAAATCAGAAGATTAAAAGTGGGAAAGTTCATGGGTTGAGATAAGGACAGTTTAATAGGGAAAGCAAAAGCTGTGTGCAAGCAAAGCAAAGCAAGGAATTCATTCACTGCTTCCCATGGGCAGGCAGGTATTCAGCCATCTCCAGGCAAGCAGGGCTCCATCACATCCCCCCTTTCCTTCTTCTTCTCCCAGTTCATACACTGAGCATACCATCGTGTGGTCTGGCATAGCCCTTTGGCCGGTTTGGGTCAGCTGCCCTGGCTGTGCCCCCTCCCAGCTCCTTGTGCACCCAGCAGAGCAGGGGAAGCTGAGAAGTCCTTGACTGGTATAAGCACTGCTCAGCAACAACTAAACCATCAGTGTGTTCCCAACACCCTTCTCATGCTGAATCCAAAACACAGCACTATGCCAGCTACTCGGAAGAAAATTAACTCTATCTCAGCTGAAACCAGAACATTTCTCCAGTTGCTGGCACCATTTTCCCATACTGGTTCCTCTCTGATCCACCAGGATTCTTCCCCTTTTCTTTGTATCCTTTGTCTTTTCCCCTAAACATCCCATAGGCATTTTTACATAAGCCCACAAGCCTCTTCTGATAGCCTGTACCCAAGCATCTTCAAGTATTCCGTATTACTCATATTAATCATGTTTGCCCCTTCCTATCAGTTAAAAATTGCTGTTCAGGTTGACATTTTTGAAGGCTTTGCCTGAGTAGTTCTTTTAATGGACCATCAATCAGAGGCTGAAGCGTTCTGGGTCCTCATTATTGTCTCTGTTGTGACTTCCTCGTTAATATTTTTGTGTCTGTGTGGTTAATTTATCACTTTCCTCATTACTTGTTATTTTTTTTAAAGTGAGTAGATCACAACCAAATAACTTAATGAACCAGATGCTCCCACACTCCACATACCCTCACACCAGCAACAGACTCAGAACCACTGGGTACGCCATGATTAGAGAGACGGTCTCCATTTTATTATAGAGATCTGTATCATGATAAGGCAGCAAACCTAGACTTCACTGTATTGACTGAATGTCAGGGTGAAGTTTTACATGTTTTCTTCATGTTCAGGTAGATTTAAAGGACAGGACAAACATGTCACACAGTGCATTTCCATCTTTCTCCATTGCATGGAGATACACAACACTGTCACACACTTTACTGACTTTAACACAGTATTTTATCCAGATGGTTAATTATTTTCCAGACCTTACAAACCTTTATCATGATGGCTGAGATAGATAGAAGTAACAGAAAGAATAATGACATAGTTGCGGTTTTCCAGTGATGTTCATCCTGTGTCTTTGATGCTTGTTTGCATTAGCTTCAGAAGGCTGTTCTATTCTAAATGGGGGAAAAAAAAAAACAACCACGTCAAAAGCCTGTAGGCAAGGGAAATACGTGTATAATGTAAGAGCATTACGTACAAAGGAAGTGAAATAATTTATTGGAAGGATTTATTTACAGTGTCAAGTATCTGGCATTGCACAGAAGTACTGCACCTCAACAGGACATCACATAAAGAATATTAGGACAAAATTAAAAGTGGAAGCCTGGCCTCCAGAAGGCCATTCCTCTTCAGTTTGCTTACAAAATTTCTCCTGTGCCTTGTGAGTCCCTCTAAGCTATGTCATTCCTACTATTTCCAAGACCAAATCTCTGTTTAAACTAAGAGTCCAGGTGCCCAGAACTTTATGAAACTGCCTATAAAAACCTGCCCAAATGTCTCTGCTATTCACTACATTTCCTTTCTGATCCAGTAATTCAGGTAGTTTTAACCTGCTGTCTTCTTTAATTCTCCTTAAGACACAATTTCCATGGCTACATTGTTCCTTGCATAAAAAATGGCCATTGAATTAGGGAAACTGATTTCTATATTTGCTTTTTGTTTTGACATGTTGGGTTTTTTAGCAACGTGGTGTTTTAAGAGGAGATCTTTAGTAGAAAATGCAGTAATAGATTAAATACAAGTGCGCCAAGTGGAAGACACGGTTTAGTTACAAATTGAAAATGAGCCCCTTTTTGCTCAGAATCTCCCACTCAATGTAGGCTGCCATCAAGGCAGTAAGAGTGGTGCGGGTGGAGGAGGAGAACAGGTTTTGAATGAAGTGGCTTTTTGGTGTTTGATAAATTAGTAGCACTTAACAGAGCTCTTTAATTCCTAAGCTGGAGTCTTCAGACTTTAAAAATGTAACATCCTCCAATTTACTTTTACTGGAAAGGGCTGCCCAGGGAAGTGGTCAAGTCCCCATCCCTAGAGGTATTTAAAAGACGGGTAGATGAGATGCTTAGGGACAAGGAAATACTTACTTCTAGAGTTAGGGTCTCACCATCTTTCTTTCCGTGGCTGTATTTCTTTTTAAGGCACACTGCAGTTGTGATAGTGATAATAAGCATTACAACAAATACAGTTACGGTTGAAGAAACAGCTATTACAATATTTTCTTGAGTTGTGCCTTTCCTTTCACACTTTTCTCCCATGTACCACCAGTCGTCACCTGCTGGACATCTAGAAAGTAGAAGAATAAACATGTTGAATCACCTAAAGATTAAAGGCATGAAAAGGGCTACTTAAAAAAAAAAAATAGCATCTCTGGTGCATTGTTTCTATATCCCAAAGGATAATGAAATTATCTTAAAATGGACTTCTATTTTAAAGTTGTTTTGAGTGGCCTACTGTCCTTACACATCTGGATGTGTTTCTTTCAGCTTCCCGCTGTTTTACAGGTCATTTCTTCAGAGGGAGCCTTTGCCAGAAAACCCAAGCGCTATCCTGATCCTTTTGACTGCTGAATGCTTGGCTGCAGCTGATCTATAAAGCTGCTGCTACAGAATGGTCGTCTTTTTTTACCGATAGAGATGCCCTCTGGATCACTCAGTTCCTTATCTGCTTCCCTTTCCTTAAAGCTTACAGCACTTCTGTTGATAGCAAACACGCTTTCTGCTCCGTGAAACTGATACCTGTCACTAGGACCACTGTCATGTAATATTTGGTCCCACTATTACTAGTTACCCTCATATCCTGATGCAGTCCTGCCTTTTGTTATGCTCAGCTTTTACACAAAACCCTTCTATCTATCTCCTTCATTCAGTCAATTTTATAGGAAGGAGTTGAATAAGCTCCTAGGCCAAGTGGTCTAGAAGCTTTACACTGCTATTTTTATCCAATCAAGTCACATTTCCCACCCTCCAGAAAACCTCATGCACCTTTGCTTTTTTAATTCTAAGCTCACTTTATGCAGCAATTCGAATGTGTGAGATAAATGAGGTGGAGACCACAGGCTGGACTCTTAAGGCATCTCTTCCCAGAGAGCAGCTGAACCAAAGCTTAGGTGCAGGAATTCCCCAGGGCTAGGACTGAGCTGGTTGAAGATGTTCCCACCACATTTCTCTCTCCCTGCTCAGTACTTCTCCACCAGTAGATGTGGTAGACGTTCCAATCAGACCTTCTTGTTGCCAGAAGGGCCTTATTTTCAAATTTAAAGAACTTGTGTGAGCTGCCTCTGCCCTCCCCCAAGAAGTTGTTAAGATAATACATTAACATTCTAGCAGTCATCTGGTTTTAGGACTAAAACCAACCTCCAGTCCTTAATTCCTTCACCTTATCCAGCATCACTATCAGCTCCGAGACATTTTATAGTGAGCATATGAGGGTCCCAATGATCTAACTGAAAAAATCCATATCTGCAGTACTGTTGAGTGCAGACCTGGCCCTATCTTTCTAACCTTGGCTGTTCCTAATGCTATTGCTTTTCTGGTTCCTGTCTAAGACATTTATTCAGAACTATACGTTCAACCCTGTGAATGAGTCCATTTGCAGTGCACTGCAAGGATACTACTGACTGTTGGGAACTTCATGTGATGCGGCTTAATCAGACCCCCTTATTTCCCAATGGAAAATCAGAGTAGAAACTGACTGCTGGTCACACACTTCTCTAGGACTGAACATAGGTCACGTAGGCACTAGAGCTTCAAATAGTCCAGAGATGGCAGAGAATAAAAGTTTTCTTTCCATAATTTTGAAACCAGGCATAACATTCAGCATTACTTTTATTTTTTTTTGTCCACTTGGAACAGCTTCTTGACATTTACTTATATTTGTGACCTGCTTCTGATGGGTTGCACAAGAATTGTTTTTTAAAAGGTTTCTGAATGGGGAGATGTAACACTTAATGAGTTATCCTGACTCTTTTGCTCTCAGCCTTTAGACGTCTGCCTCACAGCACTCCCCCAGTCTACCTGCCCTGGCAGAGCATCACATAAGGTTACTATCTTCAGCCCTAGAGCTTGTTTGAGTGCTGGAAGAATGCTGATCAGCCAGGCAGGTTACATAAAAGTATCCACAGGGAATTAAATAAAAGTTCATCTTAATTTTCTTGCAGAGCAAACAGTCTTTTTAGTCCTCAGCCTTCATCTCTGGTTTCAAAGGCAAGCAGCTACACTTTGGTGATTCATGGTCATAGTTTACACTACACAATATTTCTGAATCAAATTCCAAGATAATGTCTATGCTGCTTCCTGCCTGCAAAGTATTAAACATCTTTTCTACTGGTATAAATGCTATTTTGTTTCAACTGCATTTATATTTGACTCTCATAAATTTTTCTATAAGGACTTCTAAGGAGATGCACAGTCCATTTTATAACGTTGGACTAATGCATTACTGAAATTGATAAATATATTTAAAATATAGTTTACAGGGAAGTCAAGCAGTGTATTTCAAAACAGTCAAATGCTGAGGTTAGGAGCTTTTTGCCCAAACTGGTCTTAAGTTTAGTCTTGCAGTAGCAGTTGGAAATACTTGCCTTAATCAGCTATAGTCTGTCTTTCCTTTCATTAGGAACAAAGATTTATTCTACTAGAAACTTTCATTACTCATCCTAAAACTGCATTTGAGAGTGAACAAAGGCGGTTACCTGCACACCGGTGATCTATCTACAATAATGCAGACACCACCATTTTCACAAGGGTTTTCTGGGCATAAATTGGGAACCTCTATCTCTGGCTTTTTGGTCGGGGTGACAGAGGCTGTTGTGGTGGGTGTTGTGGTGGGTGTTGTGGTGGTGGTAGGCTTGGTGGTGGCGGTAGGCTTGGTGGTGGCAGTGGATGTAACAAAGGTGGGTGGAACACTTGGCTGAGTCGACAGTAGATGTGATATATCTGCACGATAAAACCACAAGAAGTTAGGTCTTTACTTCATTTTATCTTAATGAAAAGTTCTAATAGCAAAGAGCAAAGAGTCTGTCCACAGGTATAATGGATAAATAGTCTCTTTTACCTTTTAGGAGCATGACGTATTTTGGAAATGCCCTCTAGATTTTTTCAGAACTAGATCAGGTTGCTCAGAGCCCCATCCAACCTGGCCTTGAATGTTTCCAGGGATGGGGCCTCCACTACCTCTCTGGGCAACCTGTTCCAGTGTTTTACCACCCTCATTGTAAAAAATTTCTTCCTTACCTCTAGCCTGAACCTACCCTGTTCTAGTTTAAAACCATTTCCCCTTGTCCTAACACAGCTGGCCCTATGAAAAAGACGTTCCCCATCTTTCCTATAGGCCCCCTTTAGGTACTGGAAGGCCGCAATCAGGTCTCCCCGTAGCCTCCTTTTTTTTTTTACTTGAAGTACTCTATTCAAAATATTTTGCACAAGAATAGCATTGTTTTATACACCTTCGCATGAGATAAAGGAATTATACAGTGTATGTACCTATCCACAAAATTATCCAAACATATGATTTGACTTTAGATACATGCGTAGTTCCAAAACTACTCATTTGCAAAGTACATCATGTGTATTTATATCTACAGCACTAGTGACTTAGAAAGTATGTGACGCTTTGTGTTTACTGTATCATAAAGAATATCAGTTGTGAGTGCATACCTTCCATTGTTAAAAGAATAAAAACACTGTCTTCTTTAATAAAGCTGCGGCTTCTAAGTCTCTGATGAGTTATGAATGCACTCGTTCCACGTCCTGGAGATCTCATGAATGCAGTTCCATTGGGAAAATATGCCACGGATCCCACTTTATCTGGTCTATCCCAAAAATAAGTTGAGGAATCTGAAAAAGAAGAATTAACTGAATGTGAGTGTGGGTCCACTCTGGATTTCCTTCTCAATAGGGTCCCTTCCTTCTCAGATAATCTCTGTTGCAATGTAGTACAGAGGCCTCTCTACAACCAAGACAAACTGTGTCCTACTTTGCCTGCTTCTGCTTAGTTGCTCATGGATAGCATGAATATGGAGAAGACAATACATTACCTGAAACTCAAGGGGTATGAGCAATGCTGAACCCGCCTACAATATTTGCAAATTTTTTTGCCTGAGATTCCACACTGATGAGATGCACAAGACAAAAGAGATCCTCAACAGCTTGGTTTAGCCTGAGGTATTGAGAAAAGCCTTCTGGAGATGAGGATATTGGAAAGGTAGTTAAAAACCTGCTGTATTTTCTTTTCAGGCATAGTGAGCAAGAAGATGAGTTGTAAAATGAATTAATTCAGTGCTTCTCAAAAAAGAGCATCTCTTGATGTGTGTGTAGGGCAGAGGGTACTTGAACAACCGGAATGGTCACAGGCCGCTGACATCCCCTCCATCAAACCCTGTTCTAAATCTCGAAGCTGAGCCTGACTGTCTATGAAGGCATCTGACAGAGGGAGAAGAAACTGTCTGCTCCAACATCTCTGCTGGTTAGAGAAAGGATAGGAGTTATAAGGCTTCCCTTGCGAATCTGGGGCTATTAGCAATATATGGATAAACAAGAGGGAAGGAGCAGAGTGCAAACAGACTGCATGTCCACAGGGTCGGCAAAGGAAAAGGGCTGAGCACTGTGGCCGTAACAGCAGAGAGCATGGGGAAGATGTCAACTATCTATGGAGGACCTGGTGTGATGCCTCTTTCATTTACAGGGGAGGACATTTAGTCTTCCTATATTACTCACATTGTTTTCACTTAGAGACAGTGTCATAGAAAAATGAATGTAAATCATAAAAATTTTAAAATAATATTGTGAATTAAACCTTTTTGTGCCTTCCTTCCTTGACTAATGTTACAGCCTGAAAGCTCAGGAAACTGCTTCAGTAGTGGAGGCAGTTTCTTTTGTCAAAACTCTTATATTGATGCAGAAAGTTGTTTTGGCTTAAATCCAGCCTTTATCCAATGACGAATATGAGAGTTTTCTTTAATATCTCTCTTTATAGAGATTCCTACCATTTCTCAGAGTTACATCTTTACCTCAACTTCCTCCTTTCCAGGTTATTGTGGACAATTGCTCCTTATCTTCTCATACCTTGAACGAGTACAGATTATGTAATATGAATCAGTACTTTGTCCATCTGCAGATTTGTGCTGACACCACTCTACCTTTTACAAGGAAGGAGGGGATTTGCTTAATAGCTGCACCTTTTCGTGGTATGAACTGTGTGTGTCATCATTTCACTATTTTTATTTTCAAGCCTTTTGGAAAACTTCCATTCTCATCAAAGCAGATATACATGCATCTTCACAGAGCATATGAAAGAAATCTTAGGAGTGGACAATCCACCTGTTTCTCATGCAAATCAACTTTGAAATCCAGGGTCACAGCTTAACCTACTTGTATGTTCAATTTTTTCTTGCCTGTGATCAACTATATTATTGCTGCAAACAATTAAAACATTCCAGAAGCTAGAAAAACTGCACTAAGTTACACAATGAGAAAATTTGACTCTTTACCTTTCAGCTGTGTTTTAAACATACTGGATAGCTCATCTGATTTTAACTCACCTGATAATTCCTGAGGGTCAGTTGTTATACTTCTTTGGTTTGACATCCGTTGACGAATATCAGGATGCTGGTCAAGCAGAAGCATGGTACCTTGTTGCCATGCACAGGGCCATTGCAACTGATCATCATTTGCTCCAGAAATCAAGTGCAAGTACACTGCTAAATTAAACGGATTAGTGGTACCATTTACATACAAGCTGACTTGAAAAGCGTACCCTTTACTAGAGTAAAAAGGTGGACTGTATATTACTCCTTCTGCCCCTGCTACATTTGTGTTGAGGAGATGTGTGAAATTTCTGATATGCCAGACGTGGTGGGGACACTGAGTTTCTGACAAATTGATGTCGTCAATAGAGAGGCCCCCGTTTGATAAGCCACTTCCTCTCACGCCTTGAAACACAACCCGAAATTTACTTGTGGCATTCAAAGAAACATGATGGAGCTGCCAGTAAGTCGCAGGTGAACCTGAAAAACAAGGGTAGGGATTTCTGAGTAAGCAGGACAGTCAAACACTGCACAGTTCTACAGACCCTGTACCAACGCTATGTAAGAATTTCTCAGTTCCACCAGCACTGACATGATGGACTATTTCTCCTGTAGATGTCATGTTTTCAGTGCAAGATCATATTTTCTCAATTCAGTTTTTCAACAGATTTAATATGTATAGCAGCTCTTTAATCTGAGTGAAAACAGTGTTAATGGTTTTGAAGACTCCTTTTCATATTTTTAAAGAACACTGCATTAAATTAGTATAAATGTTGTGATAATTATATGCACAATGATGGCTGTCACTTGTGTTATTAAAAAGAAAAAAAATCAGAGCAAAGCATGTTCAAATAACTGAATAACAACATGTCTCAACAAAAAATGCTACAGAGGATTCTGGGAGCCTAGAACTACAAGATTTGTTCATTCAGTTGTTTGTGTATATTTAAATGGCCTGTTGGACGTTTGCCTATGCAGAAGCACTATTCACCCATCAAATGATTAATGACACTAAGTTCAAATTAAAGCCAGTCATTTGCAAAACCTACTTCATGTGATAAAACTTCATTGTGAGTCTGATGCTGCGTCCAAAAGTGCCTGCACTAGTAAATTCCTCTTGACTCCAAGAGCAGTGTATGCAAAACCAAAGACCTCTGCACAGGGGCTTTGTAAGGCAAGTGAAAGTAGAACATCCCTTGTTAATAGTATGTACATGAGACAGTTTCTTTTGCTGTCTGGTTTATGTTCACCTGCACAAAAGATCAGACTTTCAGTTGCATTTACAGAATAGGCAGTGCCAATCCCAGGTGCAGAACTCATGCTTCTCTTTCCTAACAATTCTACACACAACACAAAGGATCTCAGATATGAGTCTTAACTTCTTGTCATTTTGCATCACTATTATAATTAGGAGAAAAAAATAAACACAGAAACAAGAACAAAAGTGCCCCACTATCTTCCATTAAATTGGCTTCTGCATTAACAAAAGTTTTTTTGAACTGCGTATGAAAGAGTGGGCTTTCTGACTCATGTTCAGTGAGCAGACCAGCTACTGTGCGGTGGAATGTCCCCCTCCCACAGCCTCCCCTGTTCCTGGCTGAAGGCAACTACAGCAGCTGCAGACCAGAAGAAAGGGTTCAGGGCTTGTCCCTCAGCCTCTCAAGCGTGGTGGTGCAATGCAACCCCACGAGCAACTTAGCCAGGATGTCAGATCATGGCTGGAAAGGGCTGCATTGTTGGGGCTTCTTCCAGTCTGCTCACTCTGTGTTGGCGAGGGTAACTTCTCACAGGAGAGAAATGAGGCCGCATGGGGGAGAAATGATCTTAAACCATTCCTGAGAGTTTTAGCAGAGACTGTCAAAGTAGCGTTCCCATTTGGACGCACATATCACATCAGAGACTTAAAAGGAAATTATGGACTTGAGAAAGAGGGAATGAGAGATGGGACCTCATATACATATAAGAGTATTTGTGAAAAAGGCTCAAGCATGGAGAAATTAACCTTGGCTTCAAAATAGGGTTCGAAAGAGCTTGAAAGGCTCAGACTAATCTGAAATTTACAGCTGCCTTAGCAGCCCTGACACTTACATTCACTGATATGATTCCTGATGGCCCACAGGGATGATGAAAGCGTCAGGGTGAAGAAAAGAGTGGAAAAAAGAAAAGAAAAACAAGCATGAGCAGTAGCTGAGCCTAAAGGGTCAAAAGGAGGCAGAAGCAGCGTACTTGATACCTATTTTGTAAAAGAACCTGCTCAGTCCTTTATGTAACCAGAATATTGAACTAGTTGTAGTTGTAATGGAGACCAAATAATAGTTAAATATTTGAGAAAGTAACTTAATTATAAGGTGACTTTGGCAATTCTAGCTTAAAGAGCTCTTGTCCGTTGACTGACCTCGGCTGCTCATTCTGTAGACCCAAGGCTCCTAAAACCACAATAACTTATTTTTCTTCAAACTACAACTCAAATTGTGATCTGCTGCCCATGTATTTCAGTTAAGTCATTTCAAACCTTGTTCAAAAAGTAAGTTAAATTTTATTTATCTTTTTTAAACTGTTATGTTAGATATGTCAGGGAACTTATTCTTTCCATTTATTTATTATTACTTTCTTATTCATTGCAATTTACTCTAATGACCAGCTTCTTCTGTTGCTATTGATACCAGCAATTCTAGAACAGTTAAAATGACTGTTCATGGAATTTTATCTATTTTGGTGAGAAAACTATCTTGATAACACAAGAGTTTGTAATTTGTGGTAATTGATTATATTATAGGAAAACGTCTGCCTGAGGATCCATCATGTGTAATCTTGCCAGCAGAGAATCAATTACACAGTTAGAGAAGAAGCCAAAGAATAACACTAGGAGATGAGTCACTTTGTTACAATATTTTCCCCCAGTACTTTAAAAAGGATATTGAGTATAGGTTAAACCAAAATGCAGTCTTATTCCATACCTTTTATCTCTTCAATGAGTCTCAAAGTACCATTCGGATGGGCTGAAGTATACTCCCTGACCCAGACATACAGACGGTCGCTTTCGTGACCACTGTTATAGAAATAGAATTGTAAGCACTGAAAGCCCCTTTTGGGATACAGAATTCGGCTCTCCAGGATAGCTTCGCTTCCCTCTGCTCCAGCGCTGGTGTTGAAATGCATGAAGAAGCCAGAATCTGTCAAAAATCAGTGAGAAATGAATGGTAGAGGAGAGACAAAAAAATGTTCCTAGCGTACTGGTATTCTTAATACTGTATTGTACTAACGCTAGAAGACATGGTCAAGGTGGGGTAAGGCAGATCCTGGACAAATCCTCAGACTGAGGACTGTTACCTGTTCGCATTCTCCAGAGGCAGAACTGTTCTCCTTGCAATTTTTTTCCTCATCTGGCTGTCTCTAGCAATTTGTACTCAAAAGCATGGGCTTTTACTCTTTACCCAGCGCCAGTAATTCACAGTTGCCTCCCTCTCTGGGAGGACTGGCTTAAGCTCCCAAACTCATGAAGTTTTCTCTGACAGGCTCAGAAACAACTTGCTGTACTATCAATTAATTGTTCACCTGAGCCCTGATAAATCATAATTTCTAAATTCTAATCCTAGCCAAAGAACTACTGAGCAATTATTCAGAAAAGTAAAGTCTCCCTGCTGTGCCTGTACCATAGGTTAGAATATTTTATAGAGTTCTCCTGTCAGGATGTGACACTAAGACTAGAAACCAGATGAAAAGAGAGAAGAATGTTCAATCTTCTCAAATATGCAGAAAATCAAACATATTATATGTTCGATTACATTGCATTACATCCCTAAGTATGTAGATTTATGTTGCTTAGTTAAAAAATAAACTGTAATTTGACAGAAATAAACAGAGAACAAGGCCAAGAGCAAAGTCAACTTGCATGCCTCTGCAGAAAATACTTCCCAGAGAGATAAGAACAGTCTTTTCTCATACCTTCGCATTCTCCCATATTAGTGTGATCAGTATTTGGCCCAGCAGGAACCTGAGACACTCGCTGCCAATCACTGTTATCCTCTGAACTTTGAATCATGCCACATATATTTTCAAGTTCAAAACTGCATGTGTCCATGAAACTTAGGGAGGAGGCTGTGACATTTAAAAAAAAAAAAAAAGAAAAAAAAGTTGTGAATGTCTATTACGCAACACACATTTTAATTCTCAATGTCCAAAGCCAAGAGCAGAGGAAGACAAGCACAAACTAATCAGTGGCTTCAAATACCATCAACATTCATAGGTACAGTCTTCAGGAACTCAAAGCATTTGGCGATTAAGCACTGCAATTAATAAGATGCGGTCAGGACCACTCTGGGCACTTCGCAAGCCCAGGAGGGTGCCAGCTAATTATCACACCACATCTTCTCTTTAAACAAGGAATGCTAATGCCAGCCCCCACCCATCACACAGCCAAAAAAGCTGAGGACTTCCCATTCATTCCTCTGCTTTCTCTCAGCCAGTCGACACATGGCCACAGATTTTGATAAAGCTTCACTAATTTATCAGCTGGAGTGCCTACTTTGAAATATAGTAGAGCAGCAGTTATTGCACAGCAATGGGCAAACCTTGATTTTCAAAGTGCTGAATGGAAAAAAACATTCAGCAAAGGTGCATTTGGGTCCAGAAGACACCTCATCTCATACAAATTTTTAAGATGTCTTGCATATAACAAGTGAAAAATTACGTGAAGGAAGACTGTGAATTGAATAGGAAAGAGAAAACACTGTATGAAGTTATTTCTCTGTCTAAAGCAAACCCTGGATAGGTGAGGGGAAGACACAGTCCAGGTTTATCCCTATTCTTAGATTTGTTTCTCGTTGTACCACGTCTGAGTTCTGCGTAACACCAGCCATGATTTGAAAACAGCTAAGTTAATAAAATGCTTCATGATTACTGCTTTTCACACTATGTATAAAAAATTGTGGCAGGTTTAAAGGTTTCATTGCACCACAAAAAGGGCCCTGAGCATCGCAAAAATCAACTTCAATGGCACACCAAATGCTTCACTTAGGCTGTAGCTCAGGGAAGCACTTAAGCATGAACTCCTGCCAAATCAGTTGTACTGCTGAGATATTTTGTACTGTCCTCACAGAAAGCTAACAGCCCTCTAGAGGTTGCAAAGCTATCAGAAGTGTTGTGTGACTGATACCTTTTAAGATGCAGTATTGGTATGATGTTGTAAAAAACAAGGAAAGATTTTCACAGTGAATGTTGTATATTGATTGCTGGAGAAATTAAAAAAAAAAACAGCTAGGGTGTCAGCAAGAAGGTGAGCAAAAATGGAGAATTATTAGATGAAAGAACTCTTTGAAATCAAAATACAAACCAAAATATGAACTCATTTTGCCCAAACAGGAAAGCAGTAGCCTAACTACCTTAATTAGAAAGTGCCGGCTGGCATGGAGTGGTGACCTGAACGAAGGAAGAAAGAAAAGCAAGACCCAGTAGCTAGCTTACAGTGCATTTCTTAGATTAATTCATGAAACAGGGGAAGGGGGCACTGCTTGAGGCAGGCTTTGAATTCCACCTGCACCAAAAGCCAGATGCTGTCTTGGTATGTAGTGAAAAGCTGGACTTGGAAGAAAATAGGTGGGGAAGGAGTGCTGAGTCCTAACTTCCAGGGGCTGATGGAAACCTCATGGTCAGTTCTGTTAAGTAATATGGTAGAAGGGGAAAGCAGACTAAAATCTGCTGTTATCATATGGCCTGAAAGACAGTGCTGAAGAAGAGATCAGAACAGCGCTAAAGTATCCGTCCTTTCCAATCTAAGAGCCAAGTTTCCCATTTTTAATGGAATTCCCTAACCATACAGGCCTTTAGCAGAAAATCAGTTTAAACTTTTCCTTAAATCGTGTTCAGCAACAGAACTAATCTTTTTTTTTTGATTCCTCTGGGAGGATATCTGCCACCGAAACCATTTTTGGCATTCTCTCTTCCCTCTCAGCTGAAAGGATCAGTCAAGCAGCCGGGTGGGCGAGGGCTGGGACCTGTGAAGCGCCGGTCCTCCCTGGCACAGGGGCCGCTTAGGCAAACGGTGGGTGCTCTGAAGACCCCTTACAGCTCTGTGAATGTCGTGCACACTACACTAAGCTGAGGGACAGACTGGGGAGCAGGGCAGATCCTGATTGCACTGAGGGTGGTGGCAGTTCTGTCACTAATGTCAGCATAACTGGGGCTTATTTCACTTGGGGAATGTGCCTATAGGTTAAGAATAAAGTTGAAATGTCATGAAGTGTTTATGTAATGCCCGAGACTGATGGAAAGTATATAAGATTAATGGAGAGGAAGAAGGACCCCATCCTTAGCTCTAAGCACTTCTCGAAGTCTTAACTGTGTGCCAAGTGCTGGAAGCGAAGGCTGCATGTGAGTGTGTTTTCACTTCAGACCTACACGAACAGAAATATTTTCATCAGAATTTTATGCTCAAAAAAAGCACTGTTTTAACAAAAGAGTTTGATAATTATTTAGGGTATCTGTAGAATGAGGCTTAAAATATAATTGTAAACCAGTACCTGCTACTTGGGATACTGAGGCAGGGAAGTGAAAGTTTTCATCTGAGTGCCAGGGCACATTTGATGCAGTCACAATTACAGAATTATATTCCAGTCTATATTTCTCTGTCTCTTACTTTCACTCAACTTCCTAAAATAAATCCCACATGAGCAAAATAACTCTTTTGACCACTTTTGGAAGAGACTGAGTTTGAAACTAAAAATAAAAATTTTCAAAGCTTGCATTTTCTTCATAACAACGTCCGTACCCTATTTGCATGAACACACGCTCTGTCTCACAGACTGCATGAGAGCGGAGCAGGGACGATAGCCACAGCAAAGATAGATACTCATTTCTGTACAGTGTCTGAACAACAGCTGTGGAATAATGGGGGAAAAACCAAAAAGCTTTGTGCAGAAGCACGCATTTTAAAGAGCCACCCAAGGGATGAACAAAAATCAGCTGCTGAGTGAAGCTGGTTTTTAACTAAAGGTCAGATAAAATTGCACAGCAAACTCTGCCACACAGCAGTGTTTCTGCAGGAGGGCTATGTTATTTCTAGCTGCACCATTATTTATGGTGTTTTTAACACGATTCAATTCTCCAAATATCTTAGCATCTCCTTCACTTGTGCCTGGATGAGTCCAGCATGTGTGTATCACCCTCATTTCTTTCAAATGCCAGAAGAAAAAACAATTAAAGAAATTGAGAAACTTACAGCAATTGTACAGCCGGTTCAGTTTCTGGACATCATAATCGCTGAAATCCATTCGCTGTCCTATTACATCCATGAAGTCCGGTATGTCAGTGACGATGGTGGGTTCAGTCCCGTTCCTGAATGCATTTTGGCTATAGTGCATCACAGAAGTGTAGTCATAGGGAACATTCAGGGAGTCTGATGTTTTATCATCATATTTTTGGAAATTATGTTCTTTACCTAAATGGGAAAAATAAAAGGAAAGATTGTTTGTTGCCCAAGGGAACCAAGTTTTGATGTACGGGTTTAAAGTGACAGAGAATCCATCAGATCCCCATGTATGTTTTTGTAGACATTTACTTGTACTTCCTCTGTAAAACTATTTTATTTCTAGTCTAGAGTGATTTACTTTCCTCTTTCAGGCACTGCAACATAACATGGTGACTTCTGCTGGATGAAGGAAAGCTTTTTGCTACGAGAAATCCTTTCCCCGTGAAACCACCCATAAACTTTGATGGGCTTGTGGTACCCAAAAGTGGAGATACAGTTTCACTATTCAAATGAATGCAATTTGCAACTGTAATGCTTCCCTGTTTCTAATCTGCATTCTCTGATGTTTAATTGCTGGTCATTTTAGCTCACAATAAAAAAGTTAGAGTTGTCATCAGATAAGCTTCCAGAATTTAACTTTACAGATATTTTCTGGAGTATGAGTGAAAAAACATTACTACCTACCTATGGTAATGGAAGGTAAAGTTTTAAATGTTTTGAATTAGCCAAAATACAGTAACTATATTCTGGTCAGTGTAAAAAAGCTGCAGCAGTTTCAAACAGCTAACAACAGTGCAACTCGTCATTAAAGGGTCAGCAAAATGTAATGGAAACCAAATAACACAGTCGAAGACATTTTCGGTGATATATACTTGCATATGCACCTGACTATTGATCACAACTAAATAAGGATGCATTGGATTTAATTATCTGTTTTTTCAGCCTTCTGTGTGTACCTCTATTAGGAAAGCATCGAGTCTGTGTATAAAACTTTGGTTTTGAACTGCCTGGAAGTCACAGGGGATGATGGCAAGCTGAAGAGGCAGAGACCGGGCAGAGTCCAGGGGAACCCAGTGCCGGCTGCCAGGCTTGTGCCAAATACGCCAACACTTTGGTTCACAAGCTGCATCGCCGAAGTAACCGCTCGTGTGGTGCGGACCCTGAAAGGGGTCCCTCCTTTCTGCACACCCTTTCAGCACGCTCTGCCATCTCGGCTCTGCTGCCCGAACCAGGGGTAGCGGTCAGGGAGAAACAGGACAACCGGTGTTTTCACTGGAGATTTTCTACTGGCTTTGGTCACGCTGGGTTTTTCAGAGTGAGATTTTTTTTTTTTTAATTACTTTTGTTTTGTTAAGGGCTCCCAGAGTAACAGTGCTTTTAGAATATTCATTTAAACAAACAAAATTATTTTCTTCTGTTGCTTTCCTGTACAACACATAGCTCACAACAGGACTCAGATCTCTAGTTAGGGCTCTGGGAACTGCCATGGCACAAGGAATAACCACAGCAACAACAAACAAGGCTTTCTGTCCCAAATAGATGTCACTTGCTATTTAATTTATTGATAATGCTGGCTTTGAAAATTAAGTCCAGGTGATAGAATGGCACGGCCACCAAAGGATGGCTGGAAGGAATGTTCCACAGCTAAACCCCCTAGCACCAGGGTCTGAAAGGAAAAGCCGGGGAGAGACTGACCAGGCCGAATCCTGTCCCACATGATGGACACATAGTCATCCCGGTCGGACCGTGACTGCTCATGCCAGAATCCCAGGGCATGCAGGAACTCATGCTGGATCGTCCCAATCCTGTCACAGTTGGCTCCGATGGAGAGCTGCTGCATCCCCACTTGGTGGTTCCCCACTAAGGACCAGCAGCTGGCATGGAAATAAAATGAGAGAGGGCTCTGTGAGACACATACCAACCCCGTGCCTCGTGAACTCCAGAATCAGTCTGTTCAACAGGTAGGTCTGTAACATGAGTGCTGAAGTTACATTTTGACACAGAGAGCACTTTTTCATTGATCTCTTCCCTACCAGATCCTTTCCTCTCACATTTAGCTCTGTTTCGATGAACAAGCAGTTCCCCCGCTCTGGCTCTATTGTTTTTAATGGGTTTTCTTTAGCAGAAAAATGTTGAGCTGTTTGTGACAGAAGAAAACGGATGAGGATTTCATTGGTACTCTGGTAAATATTGAAGACTATGGACACATGATTTAGAGCAATTAAGTTTCTGCAAATGAACAATTTTTATCTCGACCGCAGTAAATGACCATGAGTGCACTCGGAGCCTGTCCCTATCGGCCAGGGAAACCAGGTTCATGCTCATTCTCGCCTCTGCCATTGCAGCTGCTTCTCTCTTCATGGTTTTGGCCTTTTGCCCTTTGCTTGCCAGGCAAGGTATGCTCCTGCACGGCTGTGTTTACCTTCTGAAAGGTTGGCGGATTTGACAGTGCTTTTCATAAGCTCTTTTCTTTCCAGCTGTCTGTGAGCTGCTGCACTAGGGCCCTTGCCGCTGACACACGCTCACAAGGAAGAGCAAAACCACAGCTGTGCTGGAAGTTTTTATTAAAGAATAAAAATTTCACTGAGCTATCTGCACAAGCCAATAAAATGGCACCCCACGCCCACAGACTAGCAAGCACAGGGAGTTACATTTAAATTGATATTTTATGCAGCAAATAAATCAACACTTACCCAATGAAGTCCGTAAAATTAATTGGGCGCAAAATATACCATAGGATTTGCAGTCCTCTCACCCCAGAAATTTAAGAACACAAGCACACCATGCGCTTTCGAACGCTGTAACTTATTAGTGCAACATATTCCCCAGTATTTCTCTTTCCACAAAGCATCACAGGCCTTGGCTATTGATTACTCATTAAAATCCCAGCATGAGACCTGGGAAGGAGCACATGTGGCATCCATGATTTCACCAGCTTCCCTTGAACAAGGCCTCATATCAATTATGCAGCTTTTTCTGGTTGTGCAGAAGTCTAAGAAGTCTCGTCACCATTCCGGGTCCACCTCATACCAAAGCAAGCTGCCTCTGGCTTCACAGCTACACAGAGCATAGCAGGCTACAGGCGCATCCAGGACGCTGCCAAAATTAGCATCCAAATGCTGGGGGATGCAGCTTCCGCTTGCCTTCAGTCTGCCAAATGCCTACGACACCATCGTTCTGCAGCCACAGAGGGAGCAAATGCTTGGCCTGTGTCACCCAACACTGAGACTAAAACTAGGTGAGTGGGACAGGGCACTCCAGAGCAACGGCACCTGGAACACCATGCTAGCAGTGTCTTTAGGAGGGAAGAAAAAGCGGGGAAAGTCCCAGCTTCCCCAAGTGTGTGAGAGCTGTATCGCCCCCGATTCAGTGCTTTCGGCACGGCTAGTTGCTCTATCAGAGGCTAGAGGACCGGGGAAGTACCTGCTCTGACTAATCCCATCAGCCTTCTTTTTGGAACAGATGGTCTGTAAGTGAATACATGCCTCCAAAAGTGATGATACCACCTAGAAATCCTATTCTCTAACAGCCAGGACTTATTTCAGGCACGCTTTTATACTAATGTCCTGCTAGTATCACATAGAATCACAGATGACCAGTATCAGCACACAGGCACTTGGACTTACCAGCACCAAGCTGGTTAGCCAGGGATCGGTATCCATCCACTGCTGCAGGGGTTCCCTTTGCCATGTGCCACAGTTGCACAGAGCTGAGGTGACCTCCCAGGAGAGCTCCATGAAAACCTGATTTCCCACGTGGAATTATGAGAGACAGGGTTGATCCCCCCCTTGTCTGCTAACAATTTGACTCTACCACACCATGCTAGTTTTTCTGCTGAATAAGCCCTGCTCTTCCTGAGAAGAGTAGGGAGAAACAGCATATCCATCGTGGGTTCCCAGAGCTTTGCAGGCACCTGCCACGTCTGATGTTCCTGGATTTCTGTCACTCACAAGCACCTCTCGTGTATTTGGCTTGGCATGCAGGCTAGAGTCAAGAACAAGTTTTTAAATAGATCCACAGTCTAACCTCTGCTGCAGATGCAGAGACCTGAATAGAGGGTGAGGTGAAAGGCTGTGTGCTAGAAAACCTCACATGTACCTCTATTCAGTGTTACAAACATATATATCTGTTAACGTAAAGGAGGCAGTTGCCAAGGCTTGGAGAATGGCAGGTAAAGAATGTGGACAGAGAGAGGGCTCTTTGCACAGGGTTTGATGACACTGTGTGTATAAATCAGAGACTACAAATGTATTTTTGTTGACAGGGCAGTCAACACAACAAAATGGCAGCTGGCTTCTTTTGTGGCTTCTTTTGTGGCTGACTTCATTTGAATTCAAAAGGATCATCTAGGTGAGGACTTTATGGCCTACTACAAATCCTTTTGACTCAAAGTTCCCCCACCTTCCTCTGTCTGTTTTATAGATGCAAGCCAAGATTAGAAAGGCAAAGACGATTTATTACTTTTTCTTGGTGCGATAAAACTTTACGAATCCGGCTGGTGTTGCCAGGAACTTTGTGCTCCTGTCTGCACTGTACCCTCTGGACTGAGGGCTTTAGTATGCGGTTGGGGAGTCCTAGCTGACTAAAATAATTAGGAATTATTTTCCTAATTCCAGAGTGGAAATGGGTTGGTTTATCCACCTTTCACTTTGTCCCGTTACATCGGGAGAGAGGAATGGAGCGAAATGAAAGGCAGTTAATGCAGGGTCAGTCCTGATAATTTCTTTGTACAGCCCCAAGCTAGCTCACTGAAACCAGCCAGCCATTTTCCGGAAACTGCACCACTTGGCCCCAATCTTTTAAGAAGTGCTGCTGAGCATTAATTGTTTTATGGATGTGTCAGCTGAGATGACAGAAATATTTCAGGGCAAGAAATGCACCAGGCAGTGAGGGCAAGATACGTTATCCAGCTAGAGCGACTTGTCTTCTTCATCACCATGAGTCATCTATTTTTAATAGACCTAGGTTCAGGAAAAATTATTAACAAATTCAATGCATACTTTATGTGACGAAGGACTAAAAAATTTAGCTACATGCGTTTTCCATTTGGCTCAGAAAGTCTAAGAGTCATTACCATGGGAATATGCATTGTTCCCTAAGTCTCCTCTTATACATCTTTTAGGGCTGAGTTTCAATGTCATGTGCACAGCATGAAGAATAGAAAATACAAAGAGCCAGAGACCGAAGAAATTTTGAAACAATTATCTGCTACAAATATCTCAGAACAAGCCAAAGGGAAAGGGAAACATTTCTATTATCAGAAAATCTTTCCCATTTATGAATGCATTCTCATATCAGGAAATGATTTTCTGAAAGTAAATTTTCTCACCAGGCTATCAAGCTTTCCCTGATCTCCTTTTCTAAAAAAGAAATGGTTCAGCGCAGAGTGGAGAATATATTTGTTCTTGTTGCACTGTTTTGACAGAGACTGTCTAAGAAAGGGAAGCAGCTGGGCCAATTTTGACTTCCTTACTGGAGTCTTATTTTGCAAAAGCTAAGGCGGAATAGCATAACTATTCATCAAAAGAGGTAAATAAAGCGAAACCTCTGTAAAATATCTCAGGGCTGTGTAGCATTTAAAAATATTGCTGTTGTATCTGAATGCTGGCGTGACATTGTTCAAATGCAATTCCATTTGTTGTAGTCAAACAAATTCATTGTCCCACTGTTAGAACTACCATATTTCCAACGGGATTTTCTTTTTCTAAAAACTAAGGCATACTAAGAATGACTGTTTGAAAGTGGCACTCCATATATCCAAAGATCAGTCAAGAAAACAACTGACTTGTTTCTGATATCTCTTACCATGCCCAGAAAATTACCTCTTAAAGGAATGATTACCTCTTACATTTAAAAAATAAGCATCAGCAAGAAATTGTTCTATTATTATCAAGGTAATAACTGTTTTGGAAACAACTACAATTTCCAGTTAAAAAAAGAGTGGAAAAACAGACACAACAAAAATACAAAATTATAATCAGCTACATGAATTTTAGAGGGAATACTGGCCATGAAAATAGCCTGTAGCCAAACAGGGTGACAGTTATTTTACATTACTCCTCTTACCCACTTCCTTTGAAGACAGATATATAATTCTTCTCCCCTCCCCATGGTTTGAAGTCAATACAGGTTTTTAGTCGATACTGTTCAAATGCCTTGAGGATGAGTCCCTTAGCATTCATTTCTGCAAAGCAAACAGTGTTCTTGTCAATACCGAGCCAACAGGTTTGTACTGTTATCCATATGGAGCAAGTCCTAAGGGGGGGTCTTGCTCCAGCCATCTTTGATTAAAATAAGCAGTAATTTTGCTGGATTAAGACCTGGGTAGGGACCCGAAAAAAATAAATTAGGCTGTTGGGACATTGTATCTTCCTCTTGTTTTGTTTACATGTTAAATTTTCTTTGGTACTTATGTATAAAATATGACATGATTAATATATAGTGCATGATAGTGCATGGTTCTTAATTTTGTAAATACATTCATTTCCTTTGCTGAGATTTATGTGAGCAAGTATTAAATAAACAGGGAATGAAAACACGGGATTTCATGTAGTGCAGGCTACAGAACTCTCACAGAATTTCTCCAGCACTTGATCTGCTAACATTATAGCTGGGTCATCTCCTCTAAGCAACTTGTGTGGTTTCAACTCAGTTTAGATCCGAATCTAAACTGGGGGTGGGTGATTTTTTTTTTCCTGCCATGTACCAGAAAGCTGACCCCACATTGTGTAGTGAGGGCACAGTCTCCCCATGTGGTGTACAGTAAGAACTCAAACTCCATCTCACCACTTGCCTCTGTCATGCAGACTCACAGCTGGGGTGGATTCAAAGGGACAGAGACAAGCTATGATGCATCCCTGTCCCCACAACAGGGGACCCAGTGATGTGCTATTGCAACTCCATTGCCTGCCAGAAGGCCAATTTGCCATCGGTTCTGTAGATGATGTAAATGGCCAGGAAAGCTTTCTTGCTTTAAAAAGATCTTCAGTGCCCTGTTTTTTCTTCTGCTTAGTAGTTTTATGTCTCAGACATATGATTTTAAAACCAAGGCAGTCTGCTGGGCCATAGCAATGGTAGGGCAAGAACCATCCAAGAAAGGAGGTGAGACCCAGCACCAACACGAAGATGACATAGAATAGACTCATAGAATCGTTTAGGTTGGAAAAGACCTTTAAGATCATCAAGTCCAACCATTATGATATAAGATGATATAAGATGATATACCCTGCTTGTGCACACCCAGGCCCAACCCTGCTGTGGGAAATGACCTGCTCAAGACTTCCAAGAGGAAAGGATGCCACAGTGTCTTTACCAACCTGTATTTAACATTTCGATCAATATGACATACAGACATTGTCAAGGGCTTATACTGTACCCAGGCTATCTTCAAGGACGTAGGGAATAACGTGGGGCCACCGATAGTTGTCACCAATGATGGAGCTTCGTTCCTACATTTGAGAAAGAAAATAACTATGCAGTCCTCAGTAAAAACTGACTACAATAGTGCTAAAGCAAAGTATGTCTCCTACAAGTCCACATAAGACCTATAAGAAATCAAAGAGCTCAAAAACTTTGGAAGACCCCTCAGAAGTCTAAGGCTTGGGTTTGAAATCCCTTCACTCCCTTCTACTGGTGTCTCCAACTTCTGCAGCATTTCCTCCATAAAAATTGCCTGAGATTTTTATCTCAGTGTGAGGAGAGCTTCAGCTCCTGTGGGAAGCATTAAGACCTAAATTCCTCACAACGGTGCAGTGATTAATAATTATGTAATTTTTCATAATGCAAGGGTTTGTTCTTGTGCCCTTAGCAAGTGCTGTCCTTGCTTCCACTGATATGCTCAGGCCAAAGCAGTTCACCAAAAGAAAGAGTAAAGCACTATTGACTTTCAGAGGTACAAAACACCTTTGGGGTTTCTACTAGGTCGCTTTGGGATGTAACTTCCTATGTAATTTTTTTTTTAATGGATCAGATAGGGAAACTGGAGAAATGCTTTAATATGTGGTATTACAGATCTAATTTTCCATTGGTTTTAGTGAATCTACTTATATGATGAAGGTTTTGCAGCACTGGTCTGTAAATGTAATTGATTCATAAAGAATATTTTGCAGATAAATGAAATCTTTTATATAAACCTGTCCAGATGATGATCAGAGATGCTGAATATCTTAGAAGTTTGAATATAAAAAACACAGTAAAGGAAAAAAGAAGCTAGTAATATTGATCTAATGGCTAAACTGACCTTATTCTGGATAATGTTTCCACAAATGCTCCCAACTCCTTCACTGTCTATGACATTTTGTAGAAACCCATCCCCAAACATTTTCAGTCTATTCTTACATAAACAGCATTTATTTATTGTTAGTAGGAGCAGGATGCATCAATCATTTCCATGCCAGCGATACTTTACATTGCATAAGTCAATGACACATTTCTGGGTTTACATTTTATATTTGAACTCACCCGGTCAAGTTTGATGTCTCCCTCAAAAAGATCTAGTCCTAAAGCTAAAGGGAAGAGGAGATTAACATTCAGTTATTGTATTGATCTGTGGCTACCATAATGAAAACCAAGAAAAAAAATGATAAGAGAAACTGAATTTTAAAAAACCTTCATTGATGTCAAAGATGTCTTGATCAATTCCTCCGTCTACATCTATTTCTGAAAAATAAAAAGACAAGTGAGGTAGGACATTAGCTCTTGCTGTTATCTTTATGAAGTGTGAAAATTAATGCAATAACAATAACAGTAATTATAAATCTGTGTCTGTCCTAGTGATGTTTATGAGCAGCTGTTTTTGTTGACTGCCTCCCGTGCATACAAATAGATCTCTAAACAGAACTCACCAGTTGTCTCCAGAGCAGGCTGTGGAGGGAGGAAGAAAAAAAAAGATATTATTAGAAAGGCACATAATGAAATGCAGCTCGCGTTACTCTCTCAACAGTATTAGAGATGCGATTTAAGCTCAGCTGACAGCACTTAGCGCATGGCTTTGTACTGGATTGACTGGACCCACTGCCTTCTCATTTGACTGGAAATGCTTATTTGCTTATGTGGTGGCGTTGTGTCCTCCCCGCTTCAGGTTGCCCCACAAGTAAATCACCCACCCAGTACTGCTTCTGTGAAGTTTTCACAACCATTTTTCTCTCACCACTCAGGCAGTGCTGAATGGCCTTCCACAAATGGGAGGAGCCCATTATTTCTATGAAATCAAGTATTGCTACTGGACAGACGCTGTACAGAACCCATGGAGGCTATGCTTAGTCTTCCCTTGTAAAGCTGAAGATGGGGAGAATGAGTGGTCCGGTGTCACACAGCAGGACTTTGAAGGACAGGACACACATCCAGGTCACCTCAGCCCCAGTTCAGTGCCCTTGGCTGGGCTCCATTTACCTCAGCAATTCCGACTCAAAGGCTGTTTCTGCGATGTGCAAAATTCAAGTTCCATACTGGAGCAAGACCACAGTGACATATACATCGCACACTTCTCCTTGCCATAACATGCCCATAGAATGTAACCTATATTCTTTTATTGGACTAGACACTTCATTTTAGACTGGTTTGGCCATACTTGACATAATGCTGTGCAACTATTTCTCACCCAGTGAGTAGAATCATGAACAGCCTTTCTAAAAAATTGTTGCTGGGTGGGTTTTTCTGTTTCTCATCAAGAGTCTTGTATTTGTATGTTTGACAAGAAGTCACAAACTGAAGGTAAAAAACACCCTTAAAAAACATGACAATAGAAGTTACAGATACAGCAAATGGTAGGTTATTACAGCAGTTCTGCAAAGCAGGGTGGGATTCTTACTTTTTTTTTTACTGTAGTTCCCCTCCCGACTGCTTTTCTTTCTCCATATAAATAATTTGTTATCTTTCACACATGCAGTTTTGCATGCATGACTTATTTTTCCAGTGTGGTAAGCATCTACAACTTCTATTAGAAACAATGAACAGTACAAGATCAGAATGTTGAAAACCAGCAAAAAATAAGTCCATGCAGTCCACAAGAATATTAATTTTGGTAATTTCTACCACCTGTATGACAGCTAAGAAAATAGTATGGCCGGAATATTCAAAAGAGATTCAAGTGCACGTGTTCTTCTAGACCTGACTTTTGGCACATAATGATGGGAACAATTTTGAGGGCAAACATAACTGTGGACCCTAAAACTGATGGGATTCATATAAAAACTTTAAAGAAATGCAGAAAAAAAATAGCTTCAATGAAATTTCTTCATTTGGAAAAGGTTCAGAAAGAAAGCTTTGAAATTGTCCTATTTTAGCTTTTTAGTGAAAGATTAATTTTCAGTCTGAAATTACGGTCTTGTGAAAGCTTCAGCGAATGACAGAAAAAATATTGTAAATACAAAAGCCTGAAATCTCATTTTATCATTTTGATTCACCTGCACTAAAATTAATTCAAACTGTTGCTTCACAATTTTTGTCAGATTTTGATCATTTATTCTGATTACCTAAGACGGGAAACCCATTTTTTGCCTAACCAAGTAGAGGTTATAAATTGTAGGTTTAAGAGAGATAATGCCTAATTGGTATGAGCTGGCATAATCAAATGCTTAATATCTAAATGTTATATAAACAGGCAAAGTTTTTAATCAACTTCATCTTCTGCTTCATAATTTTCTTAATGAAAACCACCACCCACATATGTCCTTGCCCAGTCTAAAGGCAGGATTTTGACCTTAAAGTGTCAGCTATGAAAAACATTGAGTGGAATCTTTTTCCTGATGCAATTTCTCCTGAAACAGTCTTGTTTCAGTACTTCACAGTTTTAGGTTGTTTCAAAATTTTGTAGATTTTAAGATATCCGACTCTTAAAAACCCAGTGTCATTGTGGAAAAATGACCCAGTCCATTGAAAAACTGTTTCCAGACTTGAGCAAATGCTGAAGGATGGATTTTGATCTCACATTTCACTGAGTTAACTGATATTATTCAGGTTTACATTACACAGAATCACAGAATGGCAAGGGTTGGAAGGGACCTTGGGAGATCACCTAGTCCAATCCCCCTGCTAAAGCAGGTTCACCTAGAGCAGGTTGATACATGAGAAATAAGGATGGGGACTTTGGAAAAAAAAGAATAAGCATATAACTGCATACAGATACAGTTTAATAAAGCAAAATATCTCTTCTGTCCATAAATCTGCAAGGTCAACAGACTCCTCTTACATGCCAAAGCTTTATTGCACATCTATCTATCTTCTCATTACATTTCGTTATCCCTGGATATGCATAAGACGGCATCAAGTCCACGTAGTCAAGTTTTGAAATTAAAGTCCAGCTTGTAAAACAAGCTGAAAGTACACGGGCAAAGTGTGTAGCACACACTTTGAAGACTTCATTTGCTTTTAAACTCTCCCCTAGATTCCTAGCTAACACAGAAGAAAAAAAATGACAAGTAAAGCTTGCAATATTCAAAAATTAAAATGACATTATTGTCTTTTCTGTTACACATTGTTGATGGAGGAGAAGAATCATACCTATCTATGTTGAATCCTCTTATAACCATTAATGGAGAGTAAAATGTTTCCACAGTTTCAGTATTTATACATTACAATATACCCACATTGACTAATAAGAAAGCATAACTTGTTCTAAAGGTAAAAACTGGCTAGCTCATGGAAAAGCTTCAGGAAAAGGTTTCAAACTTAAATCACTGTAGGTACACCCAGCACTACTTTTGGTGCACAAACCAAAATGTGAGTCCATGACTGAAGAACACCAAAGTCAGCGATTGACTGAAATCCTTGCTTGTCCTCAGTGTCTGAAAACTGTCGTGTTTTATGCTGAAGGAAGCCCTTTCAGCACTCCTTTTGCCTTCCTTCTCAACAAAACTAGGTCTTTAGTCCTGCGAACCTCAACAGCAAAATACTCAGTTTCAAAAGGTGTATCTCTACATACAAGTATTACTCTTGAGTAGCAACAGCTTCCATTCTCAATACCAGCCTGACAACTGGGACCTATATGATGCATTTCTAGTTTTGTAAATAAGCAACAGAGTCACAATTCACAGTCACATAAAGAGGAAGGTTATATTGCCTGCAATGTACCAAAGAGGAATCTAATTTAGACTAGCCAATGCTACTTTTAAATCTACACCAAAAAAAAAAAATCTGAACATTTATAATATTAATCCCTAACTTTGGCAAAAAAACATGGTTTATGTGAATTAAGTTAGATTAAAGTTTGGTCAAACCATGGCTTGTGAACACATTTCACTGGCAAATAATTCAAGTGCATATTGAATGGATGGGAAATATCTCACCTATTTTAGTCACGTAAAAACTAGACAAGTAGACTTACTCAGTAATCAGTGGAGAAACAAAAGAGCAATTGCATACATAATTTATCTGTCGCTGAAATATGTATGGCACCATGATGATGCTCTGGCGTCTCCAGAAGATGAACCACCTCACCTTGCTTGGACATCTATTCTAAGATGTGATAAATCACCCGATGAAAATTTCCCTGTCTTACCATGAACTTCAGATGCAGTCTAGTAAACCAGTTTAGAAGAGACAACCTAATTTATCGGTGTTTTCTCCAGCCTGTGTAACTTTTAGTATTGGCATCCAGGAATACGAAAGCTTTTCCTGCCCATAAGACACATGGAAATGAAATAATCAGCCCTGGTGATCAGAAGCTCTTCTCTCACACCGGAACTGGTTATTATGAGTCAGTTTGACGTGTGATAGCTTGTAGATGTTAGTGGCAGTCTGCATCACCTACTACATGTTTTACCAAAGCCTGTAGAGGAATCCAAAGAAGGCTGAGACTTGAGTTTCCAAAAGGTTGGGAATAGAGCGATGGGTAGTCATGATGGGCAGCAGAAATACAAGGGAAGTGTGAGGCTGGTGTAACAGGGGATGCAGGACTATGGAAAAGTTAGGGACATGAGGTTGAGCCCTTGACTTAGAGAGCTGTATGAGCATGTGTTAGTGGAGATGAAGAGGATACGACTGCCACAGTGAGGTATTGGAGCTAGATTCAGGGATCAGACAGTTAAGTTGCATAACGTAAAACAGATAATGTTATTCCACTTAAGTGACGTCACAGTAAGTAATACCTTACTCTATAGGTTACCTTGAAGATAAGAACAGCTGAAATGAACTTTCAGCAACCTACTGGGTTTTGTCCTCCAAACTAATTACATTGCTTATCACTCAAATTCCTGACCTCTGCAATAAATTATCACAAGATGAGCCAAATGCTACATTTCACTACAAAAGACAGGAAATACAAAATCTCCATTGTTACTTTTTTGGCATTAAATAGTTCAGCTGGATTGAAGGAACAGAGAATGGTCATTTACGAGTATGCCCAAATAAAAAGGCATCAATTTCAAAATCAAATATATTGTTTTATAGCAAAACACCCCCCCCATATTTTAATACAAATAGTGGCAAAATAAATTTTAATACTTATCTTGATTCTAAACCAGATTTTCTATTCTGGTAATGTTACTTCAAATATTAAGGGACATTTTGCTTAGATGGGGAATGCAAGATAAGCTCTTCCCATGTATAGCCAGACCTATTAAAAATAGCAACACTAAGACCCCAAGGAAACAGAAATCTTTCCTTTCCATGCAGATGACTACAGAATTCTTATTTTGCAAACACAACATACTTCAGTCTTTTCCTCTCAAACTCATCTTAAGGTGCATTGCTTACTTCATTATATCAAGAATATGTATTCTTTGATTTCTTACCTGACTCCAGACCACCTGAAGAAGAAGCCAAGTTAGGAGTGCAGGTGTGGAAAACCAGCCCATATTGTTATCCAGTCAGAAGTTGCATGGACAGAATTTCAGACCAACTTGGTATTTAAGACATTAAATGTCATAAAGCAAAACCTTTGTCCTTTTATCAGTGATTAACTCACCCACCTTTTTCTTGTCCAGTAGGCGAAGTCTACCATTACTATATTATGATAACTAACATATGCTTAACTCTTTTTAAGCATTGCTGTGAGAAAAAGTATTGGACACAAAGTGACATACAGGATGAAATGGACACAGGAAAATGGAAATACAGAGGATACGGACACACTGAAACACAGGAAATTCCATTAAAACATATGAAAACTTTTTTTTTATTCTAAGGCTTTTTAAGTGCTAGAACAAATTGCTCAGAGAAGTTGTGGAGTCCCCACCCTTGGAGAGAGTCAAAATCCAACCGGTTTGCAAGCAGGGGGATTAGAGTGGGTGATCTCCACAGGTGCCTTCCCACCTCAGCCATCCTCTGATTCCATGAATAAAGCTGGCACTAAAACCTTTCAAACAACTGAAAGCTAGCAAGACTTTTGGCAGGTAACACATTAATATATTAATAAATATGGGGGGGGTTGACACAAAATGAAAATGGGAAATGTGTGCACCTAAAAAAAATCTGTCAGCAACATAATTTCAGTACCTTGCCTTTAGAAAAGGCAATGCATGCCATTGCTGTTGTTGATGAACATGAAACACTGTATTGTCAGTAAATCATACAATGGCATTCTTCCGGAGTATTTAAAAATTCCAAACAAAATAATTTTTTAAATGTCAGTACCATTGTTCTACCACCACTGTCTGTTACTCTTTGGAGCTTCAGTTTCTTCCAACTTAGGTCATCCCTTCTACTTGCTAGCTGACAGAGAGTGCTGAAATTGCCACAGCTGCTTCTTATGCTTAAGCTGAAGGTACTCCTGGTAACTGTATGATCAGACTCGGCTAATGTTTCACTTTCCCAGACCAACTACCTGGTTAGCATGTCATAAAAACTAAAAATGGCATTTGGATTTTGTATTGTAAATACAGACTCCCAAACGATTATATCAAAATTAATAACATTTCTCATATTATTTCAAGTATCAGAGTTGATAAGAAAGAACGGGGTGATCCTGTGTAACGAGGACACCTGAGCAATTTCTAGCCATGCAGACCCACACTTATTTCTTTGCTCATCCATTGAGAAGTAGCCATCATGGATATGGGTTAGGTTAATGGTTGGACTTGATGATCTTAAAGGTCTTTTCCAATCTAAACGATTCTATGATTCTATGATTGATATTCTTATAATGTTAGTTTTTTCAACAAAAGTAACAATACATATTGTAATCCTCAGCCCGCCAGTAACGATGGTGTCAATTGTTCTCAAATCAGTGATGTCTGGAAGGTTGAAAAGCTTGTCTTTCAAGATTTCTTCTGCAACTTCGGCAGCCCTTGAATTCTGCATGCTGTCCTTGTCAGCTGCTGGGAGATGATGGTAGTTCTCCTTTTGGAGGCTCTCTAGGCTAGATTGGCTATGGTCACAGTAACAGCTACTTTGAACCAACTGGAACAGATCTGTACATTGAAACATTTGGTGCTAGGAACCTGGCATCTATGTTGTACACCTCTCAAAGGGTTTTACTCCAGACTGATTTGATCCCAAGGACCAGACCTCAGTGGTGGCAACATGACCGCATTAGACAGGGATCTGAAGAATGTATTCTGGTTTAGTTTCAAACCAAAGAAATTCAGTTTGGACACTCCAAAGCTGCTCTGTGAACTAAAGCACGGTTAAGCGGGAATAATGATGACACGTGCTTAAAACATACACTCCTGACCAAAACTAAAAGACTAGCTGCACCCGTTACTGCTTGATTACAGTACTTTGGAAGCGTTTTCTTGAGATGGGGGAATATGATGAACTCAAAAGAAATAGCACATTTTTGGGTCTTACTACTTGGTGTTAGAAGAAAGCCTAAAAGCCTGTTTTTCTACTTCTTTGGTCCCTTTTACATGCAAATAATCAAGACAATCTGCTCTCTGTTCCCACATCCCCACTTCTACGATTCATCAACAAGCACTGAGACCTCACAGCAACCTCTTCGCAGTAGGAGGTAGGAGGACGATTTTCCTGTCACAAAGAAGGGCTGTATGAACCTCTGTGTCATGACCATTGCTGCCCTCAGGACTGGCTAAAAAGCGAGTTACCCAAAGAAAACACTAGAAGGTGTTGGAACTGGCATACAGTGACACCAAACAGAGAAGGCATAGAGCTATATGCTAACCTTGCATTGTAAAATACAATCCCTATACATGTTTTTCCTCCAATTCACACTGGTTTTTAATTAATTAAACTCAGAGTTTTGACAGCTCAACCAGTCATCTGGTATAATAAAACAAGACGCAATAGAAAATTAAACAATATATGAACAGAATGTCAGGACTTTTAAGGCAGAAGTTCTTGGCATGAATTGCAGTGTCACCCATGAAGTAGCTAAATGGATTTTTACTACGTGTTGAGGAGAAAGTAATAAATACAAAGTCTTAAGTAAGTGGTTTTTTCTATCTAATCATGGAAGATCTTTTCTATAGAGCTAATCTACTTTTGTGACCACTTTCTCTACAATAACAAACATCTTGCTTTATCACTGACTTACTATCTATATTCAGGCAATAAACCTACCACCCCTTATTTTCCTTAAGAGTTTTTGCTACTTGACTCCTTGAATTTTTCTTTGAAGATGAAAAGCCCTATAGCCATATCATAATTCCAAGACCGAGGCCCACAGTAAGAAATAACTGAGTATTACTGGAGATGAACTAATAAAGGACAGTGCAGCTTATTTGAATAGATGGTGTGCACTTGCAGATGTACAAAAAGAACGGCCGTCTTAGATCTTGTCTTTATTCTACAGTTACTTGGCACGTAACAGCCAAAAGTAACGTGTGTCCTTTCTTGGTACAGTCAGGCACCCGTGGAATTTGAGGATGTTATTTCCATTACCGTTTTGATCTGCCAGCAGAGTCCGTCAGTGTCCTGACTGCAAGCTCTGTATTTGAGGAAAAGTAAAAAAATTAAAGATAAAGCAGAAGGAGCAGGTCTTTATCTGGTTAATTGCTTTTTCCTTTCTTGCAATTCTTTGCCTTGAGCATGTTTCACAACTTTTATGGGTGCTAAGCTATCTAATGAACCCTGAGTAACTATAAGAGACACCTGCAAAATCTGAGCTTTTGCCAGTCAATTACATCTCTTTCCCCATAGACCCACACGCTCCCACGCTGCTAGTAGAAGCGACGAAAAGGAAAGACATCAGAGCTTGATGGGGAACTTGCTACAGATCTATTGCAGTGGCCACTTGGACCTCCTGCTGAGTTGACTTCGCTAGCACCAGGCAGATGGGGAACACCAGGGAGCAGACAGTGTGTTTGTTCCCTTGGACAGGCAGCATGCCTCCGGGCCTGCCCTGTAGCAGCACTGCTGGCGGGCACTGCTGCAGCACGGGCAATACCACCACGGTGCTCATCCCCTGCCCTGCTGCAGGACAAGAAACATTCACCAGACATTGTCCAGTGCAGATGGGAAGCAATACCTGCTTTGTAAAGCTACGTTTGCCAATAATAATCCCGAAAGAGACAGTAAAGGGAGCAGAGAGATGATTGGAAAAAAATGAGTGAAGTACAGGAGAGATAGAATGTTTTTAAAAGCCAAAGGAACTTAATTTCTAAATGCAATGTCAGCCAACTACAGAGAACCATAAAAACAACTAAAAATCACTCCGTACCCCTGGACATTTTCTAGCAATTTTGGTAGGTAGCTTCCTGTTTGAATAGTTTCGCTGATTTTCTGTATTTCAGCACAGACACTTTGAGAATGTTGCGATCCATACACTGCTCAGTGAACAGCTGTGATTCACGGTTGCTTGTTGGCATTTGGGTGGAACCTGACAGATCAGGAGTTTCAATGTCAACTGCAAGTGATATGAATTGGTTCAATAAACTTGTAAAGATATGGCTGGTAGAGCATTACGTAGCTCACTTCGCAGTGCTTACAGACCAAATGTTAAAGAGTAGGAGGATATTCAAATGGTGTACTATTCTTAGCATATCGTTCCTTGCCCTGTCTCAAACTTCCTGCATTATCTTGCACAAATTAGTTTCACTTTTTCAGTTAATCTCCCAAATGTGATAACATTGCAATCGTATCTCTTTGGCTGATGAGGCAAAAGCACCAATGAAAGTAAGGGCTGTCAGATAAACCTGCAAGATAAAAGACTCAATCAAATCCAAGAAGTCTCCAGTTGAACACCTAACTTTTCAAGTTAGGAAACTCTGATCTTTACAAACCTAGCAGGAGTCATATGGAATATAATGTAAGAAAGTGAAAATTACAACAGGTATCAAATAGAAGTGTTCCATCTTGATAACTTAAGAGTTATCAAGAAAATGAAGCAGACCTTCAGTTTCTCCCCACTGCTTAGCTCCATGTAAATTAAAAAGCAATATTTGAAAAGCAGACAGAAGCCACCTGGGTGTATAACATTGCATACCTTACTGCCCACTGCCCCTTCAGACATGTACTTTAACCATTATCTTTTATTTCATGTGAGAAAACAATCTTTTGTAAATTAAATCATTACTCATACAGGATTACACCTCTCCACCTTTCATAGGAATCTGAATCATGTCTGACATGTTTTTTACACAAACATATTTTATGGTATAGATGAATCAGATTACAGTGTGAAACAAACTGTGACTTATCAGTGCAGCTACTAAAGTGGCTGTACCCGGCCACTAAGTATCATGCCACTACAGAAGCGTACTCCAGGGATACTTAGTTCTCTTGCAAACAACGGAGCGTGACCCTTAGCTGGGAGAATCTCTCCCTCCATTCCAGAGGCTTGTAGCAACCCCAAACTATTGCGTGCACTGCCAGGGAACAGCTTAGAAGCCCTACGTAATATGAAGGGATAACAAAGCACACCTGCCCTTGGCACCTGGTGGACTTCTTCACGGCTGCAGATGGAATTAGAGGGGTCACTGACTTGCGTGCAGTTTGTCGTGGTTTAACCCAGCAGGCAGCTGAACACCACGCAGCCTTTTGCTCACTCTGCACCTCCCCCAGTGGGATGGGGGAGAGAATCGGGGCGGGGGGGAGAAAGTAAAACCCATGGGTTGAGGTAAAGACAGTTTCATAAAAGAAAAGAATAACAATAACGAGAACAGAACATAGAGAATATAGAAAACAAGTGATGCACAATGCAATTGCTCACCACCCGTTGACCAATGCCCAGCCCATCCCAAGCAGCGATCCCTCTCCCCCCAAGCATGACGTCTTATGGTCTGGGATAGCCCCTTTGGCCAGTTGGGGTCAGCTGTCCTGGCTGTGCCCCCTCCCAGCTTCTTGTGCACCCGGCAGAGCAGGGGAAGCTGAAAAGCCCTTGACTGGTGTAAGCCCTGCTAGCACCAACTAAACCATCACTGTGTTATCAACATCCTACTCATGCTAAATCCAAAACACAGCACTATGCCAGCTACCAGGAAGAAAATTAACTCTTACCCCAGCCAAAACCAGGACACAGTTTCAGAAAGCAAGGAGTCAAAAATCAGCAAGAACCCCCCTTGCCCGTTGCCACAGAATGCAACGGTCCTCAGATGCCCCCGTGTGACTCCTGCGGGCACTGCAACGCTTTGGCTTTAAAGACGAGCTCTGAAGAAGGCGTTTGGGGCAGGAAAGGTCTTGCAAGTCAACGGAGTTTGCACGAACATGTCACACTTTATGTTCGCACTCCGTTCTTCCCAGAGGGGAGTCCCGGGGAAGCGCAGCTTACTTGCCACAGACGATAAAGCACACAGGTAAATCTGTAAGTTTGAGGTTTTAAAGTAAGTTAGAAATACTCTTTCGGTAGATTGGAATTACCCCAGTCAGTCTCTTACCCCCTACAACATAAAATATTTATTACATTTTATGAAACATCTGGATAGAAAGCCCATACCTAGAAATGTCTTTGGAGTACAACTACTCAGTGAATTAGCATCCTTAAATACTACACTGATTGGGAGATGAGCCAAAAATATTCAGTGCCCTCTTGTGGTTTGAATTATGGAAGAAAAATTCATAGGAGAAACTGCTGAAGTTTGCACAGCCTCTTAATGGAGGTGGCAAATAAATCGCACCTTCTGTGATACCGCTGCCACAGCCCTTGCCCTGAAGAGAAAAGCCACCATCTGCCCACTGTCTTCTGTCCATGCCTGCAAAAACAGAGAACCTAACACAAGGCTTTCTAAAAAACAAGGGCCTATTACTGTTAATGAGTAGGTCTGCCCAAGATATTTTTGATTTTAAACATTATCTTGATCTTTCCAATCAAAAAAAATACACCATACACACCCCAAGAAAAAAACCAAGGTAAATGCTTCTAGCATTCAACAAAAAAAAAAAAAAAAAAAAAATCTCACTGGTAGGATGTTCAGATTCTTTCAAACTGCAAATACATTGTGAGAAATATAAATTCCACCAGCCATAGAAGTAAAGGTGGCAGGCAAACTGCAAAGCATCGATGCCAAGAGTCCTAGTTACTCTATTTACCCCTGAGGCTCACATCAGCCCCAAGATACTGAGGGCACAGCCAGAGGAGCTTCTAAAACATACAGAATAGGAGACAATACTTAGTAGCTAAGTAATATAGTCTTAGCTATTTAATTGCTGATTACTTTAAAAGACAGAAAGGGGAGTGGGAGGGAAACAGGGTAAACTGAGAATCGCTGTATTTTTACAGAGGAAAAAAAGAGAGAGATGCAAGAGTAGAGAAAGAACGTAAAGTAACAGAGAGGAACAATTTTCTCAGTGACGAAGCATCCTCCTAAGCTTAAGCAAGTCCATAAAGAACGTATTCTGTCACTAAGCCCTGGGAAATGACCTGCAGCTTCATGGAGCTGAGGAATGCACCCCAAATGTATACACAGGATTTGAGGCAAAGACTTAAAATGAAATTAGATGCTTTCCACTGAATGCATTTGGCAGTGATAAACACACACACACACACACACACACACCCAATTCCTAACAGCTTAGGTGGTGGAATAAACACAAAATTTACCTTCCTAGCTCTTTCCTGATCATGTCCACAAAACCAGACATATATGGGCGGTGGGGGGGGAGGCAGGGCAGGCAGGGAGGGGGAAGGATAGAATAAGGCTGGTTAGGGCTGGAAAATGAAGAGGTGAAAACTCCTCCTTCCCAAAGCAGACCTACAGTTTGAGGTGAGTAAGAAACAGTGCAGATCTTTTTTACTCATGAGGTGAAAGAAAAAGTCCACACTCTGACCCTAGTAAGAGTCTGGTAATTGACTGGGAAGCAGCAATTTTAACACTATTGAAAAACCGCCTCACAGTAGAGGCCCTGAATTTTGTCTCCTACATGTTTTAAAACATACCCACAACTGGACAAAAAAAGAAACTTGGTATCCAGAGCAAGTGTAAATGCACACGCTAGTGAGAACAGACTATGCAGCGTTTGTGGTCTTTCATTGCTAGTTTCTCCAATTGTAAAAGAACCCTAAAGATGCTTTTGCCAGATATTCTTGTAGCTCTGCTTGCCTGCAACAAAACAACCTTGGCTGCCAGGTTCTGCAGTCATTTCACAAATGGCACAGTGTTAACAAGACATAGCAAAGTGCACATCTCTTGAGAGCGTCCATGAATTAGTGTGTCTGTTTCAGCATAAACCAGAAGATATAAAATACACACTTGGGTGTACTTTTTTTATAGCAGAGTCCTTACAGACACTCACGTGTTCAAACCTCACTGGACTCAAAAGCCTCATCTAAAAAGAGGGACACAGGAACGTTCCCTAGATACAGAAAATCTTCCAGCCCTGGCCACCTGTCAGAAGATGGCCTGAGTCCACCAAGTCCCTCTCTCTCCCTGGGAACTAAGCCCTGGCTTAGGACTAGAGCAGGACAAAGAGGAGTTCTGCAGAGCTCACGTCTCTCATAACCAACATAACGCCAATAAGAATTAAACACATTGAGTGCATTCTCTCTAGGTAATGAAATATGCATTGCTATAGTAAAAGAAAATTAAATGGAATCGCTGGCACAGAATCACAGAATGGCAAGGGTTGGAAGGGACCTCCAGAGATCATCCAGTCCAACCCTCCTGCAGGTTCACCTAGAGCATGTTACACAGGACTTCATCCAGGCGGGCTTTGAATTTCTCCAGAGAAGGAGACTCCACAACCCCCCTGGGCAGCCTGTTCCAGTGCTCTGTCACCCTCAAAGTAAAGAAGTTTTTCCTCATATTCAACTGAAACCTCTTATGTTTCAGTTTGTGCCCATTGCCCCTTGTCCTGTTGCTGGGCACCACTGAGAAGAGTCTGGCTCCATCCTCGTGACATCCAACCTTAAGATATTTGTATGTGTTGATGAGGTCCCCTCTCAGTCTTCTCTTCTTCAGGCTGAACAAAGGCCTTATAACCAGATTTATGAGATACAACAATCCATTTAGAGGTCAGAAAACTACATTCTAAGGGGAAAGAACAATAAACTAATAAAAAGTAAATTTTACATATTTTTGCTGTATTTCTAGTATTCAAAATAAGACATTAACTCAATTTCATAACTGTATCATCATCTGCATGTCCTTAGAATGTAAAAGCACAAAAAACAACCAAAGAGCTTTTCAGCTCAGAAATACAGGGCGGACAGATAAATCATCTGTATACTACCTTGCTGGTCCAATACTGCAACCAGCCCAAACTCACTGACAATTATTTCCTCAGAAAAAACTACCTCTTCTTAGTAAATCTACCTTTAAATAACAAGGTTTTGCTATTGGCCCCAAGTGTTACATACCTCTTTTTCTCTCCTTTTAGCAGGTTATTTCTCTATTAAAATCACAGACGACAGCAACATATGAACACGGGAGGCAGGAAAGAAGCATGAATGAGTTTTGTCCAACCTACCATATCTTCTGCTCATGGAAAGATCTTAAGATGTGGTAAAAGGTAACTTGTCAGCTCATGAGAGGATCATGAGCCACAACTCACTGGTTCCAGCAGCATACACGCCATTCTAATAATTTAAAGTGTGAAGGCATACAACTGACCATGTACTTAAGTTTAGAAAGCATCTGGAAAGGAAGAGGTAGTGTCAAAGGGACTGATCATCTTTATTATGCAACAAAGAGACAAACAGAAAATAAAATACTTTAATGGGAGAAAAAATAAAGGTACAATTCAAACATAATATACCATATTGAAACCATACACAACTCAAGGTGAACATGAAAACATAAACAGCAATCTTCTAGAAAAGGTTGCATGTTTAGAGTACAAGCATCACCACCACAAATACACAGCTTTTTGTGTATGTCTGAGTTTCAGTGAGAAAGATCATGACCAGCAGCAGCATATTTAAATAGATGGTTTCATTTTCATTAAACGCTTAACGTAGTGAATGTATTGGATGCAATCTCTTCATATTAAAAGTATAAAATCTTGAGCAAGGCAGTACCTGCCAATACAGATTTTAACATATGCAAATAAAGATGATAAACATTTTGCAAGGTTTTTTTTTTTTACATTGCATTTATACACATTTGTTGCTTTTAAATGTGTACTCAAGTCTCTCAACATTTAAACCTGACTAAAATGCTCAGCAACTACGCGTCAAGTGACAACTAATTATTGCTATAGAAAAATTTGTTTCCCAGAGTTTTAAAATAGATGTCATTTCATTTGCAATTCTCGAGATATGTTCAAGTAATAGAAATAACTAGTTCCAGTGTCCATGAGGCATTCTGAATCTGTATTGGCTGTAGGCATTTATTGCCAGATGATATAAATATTTTATCGAATCTAAAAAAGTTAACTAAACTTACATATAACTATTCAATTCCTTAGGAAATGTATGCTGTAATAAAGTCACCACAGTATGCGTTTTTATTTTAAAAAGGTAAAACTTTAGCATCAAGCTACCTTGAAATTCCTTTCTGTCAAAGGGAACTACTTCATAGTCGGCTTTATAGAGGAAAAGAGAAAATAAAAAATTCAAACAACATTCTCAGCTGGATCAGTGAACCACTCAAATCAGTACGTGCTCACACAAGCACTAGAGCTGACAGATGAGTGAGAATATGCAGGCAATAGTACTGGGGGCAAACAGGGAAGTTTGAGTACAAGAACACGGCATGGCCTGCTGCCGAAATACCATATTAAGACAGTAACAAAATGCAAGACAAGTTAAGTTGTTATAAAAAGGATATAACCTTTAGACATTTCTGGAAAAGCCAGCTTTCTCTGTATTGTAGTCAGCTATGCCTTCAGTAATGCTTTACACTTCAAAACCAGAAGACAGAAATTTCAGGTTACAGTGTATAGTGGTTTAGTTCCAATACTCAACATATTAGAACTAAGATTCAGTTCTGAAACCCATTACACTGCAGAATGAGGCATTTCAACCTTATCAGTTTTGGAATATGAAATATCTCAGTATTTAAAGAATAATCAAAGCCTCTATTTGGAGAGCAAATGGGAGCCAGGGCAAAAGCAGCAGATTGTACTTTGGCTGCACAACTGATATTATTACACATAAATGACCAACTAGACTAGGAGAATTACTGGGAATGTTCTCCACCATGTATACAATACCCATTAAGAACACTGGTTTGACTGTGGGCTATGGCGATGCAGGATGAAGAGTGAGTCCTGAAAGGTATACATTCAGAACAGCCTCTATTTAAACCTACAAAATATAAGCAGTGCAGCTTTCTTTCCCCTTCTCCCCATTAGTATCAAATAAAAGACCTTAAAGTTCTTTTACAAATGGACTTTCCATTTAAATTCAAAATTGCATTATTGCTCTGTTTTCTCCGATTTTAATGACGGTCTTGCTGGGAACGTGGAAATCTAGAATAGGAACTCTTAAAATATGTTGGTAACTATTTCAGAGCAAGTTTTTCTTCTCAACTGTTTTTTCAAAGCCTTTGGATGCAGGAGATGCCGAGGTTTTAAACAGTCTTACCAAAACAAACAAGTTCATTTCTGAGTGTTGGGTAGGTCTGAAGCCAATTAGTTCTCTAGTTACACAGCCTTCCACGAAAGACAGAACAGGCCAAAATTTGATTTCCAAATGCAACAACAGAAGTTCTTAAAAAGCTCCAACAAAATAAAAAATTAGCTGGTCACAGTCATATACCAAAAAAGTATACCTTTTGTGTGTCATCTTGAATTGCTCAGAAAGTATGTCATCTTCCTTAGTAGTTGGGAGTACAGGGAAAATTCCTCACCCGTCACTTTAGTAAGCAAGCGTCCTGTTTCAGTTATGCTCCAAAAGGGGAAAAAATAGATGTAATTATTCCTAGGCAATGGCATCATTCTTTCTCAATGAAAGGTGAGAAAAAACCTGCTCTGCACTGTTGATCTATAGAAAACAAGTTTTTTTTTCCTTAAGTTGTTATTTTCATTCACGTAGTAATAGTAAAAAACAAATCACAATATCAAATAAAATTTTGTCCTTGGGCAGCAGGAGAAAAAAAAATTATCATCTCGGGTATCTTAGCAGATGACAGCTGAACTGAAACTCAACAGTGCAGCAGAGCACCTTTGCACGTCTTTCTAAAGGGCCTTTCAAAGCTGGTTTTGGTGAATTAAAATATCTGACATTAATAAAAGAAACAGTGTAATTAACAGAGCAGTAGAAGTTAGAGAAAATCAAGACAACAGTGAGAAGTTCCAAAAAGGTCCCTAATTCCACAGGGACAGGTCTCAGTAAAGATGTGAGGTTTGAGTTTCAGCAAATCATTTATGAAAAGTCCTTACAAGCGTGGAAAAGTTAAGCCTGAAAAGTGGTTACTGAATACTATTTTTATCAATATACACTTCAGATCACCAACAGAATTAATGCAATTTTTCTCTCAGATAATCAGTGAGATGAAGGGGGGCTATACTTTAAAAGTTCACATGACAGGATTCTTGAACTGCATTTTGGTATTGGGCTTCTTCATCAAGTTGAAGATTCTAAACAAAATGAAAATATCATCAAAATGGACAAGTACTCAAGATATACCACAGTCCTTAGTTTAATCATTCATTCTCCACATTTTTACATAGGAATTGGCACCTACATGAAGACTCTCCATCTTTATGTGTACTAGATGATTGTTTATGTTGCACAGTATCTTTTATTTAACCAAGTACCAAGAGATACATGAGACAGAAGAAGAATCAGATGAGTGGGACAAGGCTCATTAAGCAGAAGGGTCCTTCTTCTCTCCCTGGCTCAATTACATTACAGAATAGCCAGCTCAGGAAAGCTGACTGTGTCGCACAATTCTTATAACGGGGCTTCCAACCAGCCATAACATCCTCCATTAATAAAAAGAAAATGTGATCCCCAGACAACAGTAATCTCAGATTGTTGAAAATATACTGCTTAAAATGAGAAAGCAAACGTATCACAAAAGATGGATGGTTAGCCCTGCTACTTTTGAAGAGCTATCTTCCAAGTTGTTAACATGCCAGAGTAATACACCTTTTTAGTGCAATTCTGGCAGCTTCCCCAAATCAGAATTCCAATCACCAGTTTTACATCCTCAAACATGCAAGGTGCACTCATGCTGAAGAGCCCAGTTCCCTGTATCAATCTCCTAGCTCTTCATCCCTTTGTCACAGATCGCTCAACACAAAGAACAATATGCATCATCTTTGCCATCTTTAACCAGTGAAGCTGCCTATGCCTCAAATACTATGCTCATTCCACACAAACCTCAAGCAGTGTACCCCAAAGCCTGTCAAACTCTGTAGAAACTACAACACAAACTCTCCAGCCCTCCGATCCCACACGCAGAACTCAACCAGTTGGCTTGACTTACAACCCACCCCCTGACTACATCTGTGTACGTAGCTCTGCATCTACTCCCAGGTCATTTACTCACTCAAAGTGAGCCTGAAAGAAGGCAACCAGAACAATGATTTAATGACACAACTCTTTTTCACATTGCAGCCTCTCTCGGAACATACTGGAAGAGAGGCTGTAGCAGAAATACCAGCTGGTCAAGCTGCACTTTGAGTCCTGCAAATTATGATTTAGCCATTTCTGCCATAAAAGGTCAAAAATGTCAATAAAGCAGAGTAGCATCTATTTTATTTCCCCCAGAAGCAGCAGTAATAAACTGTTCTGGAAGAACAAATGGTTCAGATTGAGAACACTAAGCTAAAGACTTAAGTCATCAGTTTGGAGCAGAGCTTAACTGTTGACAATACCTATTCCCGGTAGCACTTCATGTTCATAACAAAGTTTAAGAACAGACAGACCTACTTCTGACTTCTGTACAGAGCATGAACATAGCATATCCAGAGCACAAACAACTTTGGTACAAATTTTTTATTTGGCATTTTTATTTATAGAAAAAAGTTACCATTTATGCCCCTACACACCAAAGAAGAAAAAGCTTACCACAAATTCTCCGTAGTCAAACCGGTGTCTTAGATTTAGATGGCTAACAAGATTTCTAGTAACCTGGTTAGTATCTGCCCAAGGAAGAGATACACAAATAGGACAGATCTGAATTTGGAGGGGAAGGGGAAAGAGAGAGAATTAAAAAAAAGTTATTGGTAATACAGAATGCATTGAAGACATGTTCTACAGGAATAAGTCTATTACTCATCCACTACCAAAATACAGTAGAGATGTTAACATAAAAGTTCTAAGTGTTCTAAGTGTTCTAAGTGTTCTAAGTGTTCTAAGTGTTCTAAGTGTTCTAAGTGTTCTAAGTGTTCTAAGTGTTCTAAGTGTTCTAAGTGTTCTTCTCCTCAATTGTGTAACATTCACAAATTACATTTCAACTTGCCAAAGTTCTTAAGTATTTCTCTTAGGAGTGGGGGATTACTATGTCTGTCTGGCACTCCTTTTGTCAATTTATGTTGTTTAATATTTAGAAAAGAAAGCTATTACTGCATCTTACTTATTGTTTGGGAAGATTTTCATATAATTGAGATGACCAAGTAAGCCGAAAGAAAAAATAACACACCTTATACAGAATAAAAGAATAGAAAACTAAACAGATTTTTGTTCTTCACTCTCTTTGATTACCTTAGATTACTTTTCAAGTAACTTCCACATGAAACAATAGTTACGTTACAAATGGGATTCTATAGAAACAGATCTGAATTACTAAATGAAGAAGAGTAAGTGTCAGGCTCAAAAACTGAGTTTGTCTTACATCAAGATAAATGAGACTGCTAAGTCAGAAATGCCTTAGAACCAACAAGAAAGCTGGACAAGAAAGGTTTTCAGATTAAATTCACTCCTCAAGTTAAATGCACTGCATTAAGTATATTGCCTTTCTCAGACCACAGTGATCTTTACAGACATAGAGTATCTACTGCATGTTTAAAATTGTTCACATAATTATAATGGAAATAGCTTAAGAAGCATATATAAGCAACTCTACTTACTACAGGAACTATCTGATAAAGATGTCTATTATTACAGTGATCCAGCAAGCGTTGTCTGGTAAAATTGGCTTCCTGACACAGAGGGCATTTGAAGGTTGGGTGTCCACTGTAAACAGAAATACACAGTATTAAACAGAAAAGAGAGGTTTAGAAGTAGTGTTACAGAAAGCTTAATTAATCTGCTATCTTGTCATTGTTTTCCCTTATTTTGGTAACAACAAAAAACCCCACCCTCCCCGACATAGTAGCTGTTCTAATGGAGTTCCAGTGCTACTTCCAAACTGCAATTTTAAAGCACGTTCATTATTTGTATGCCTAAATACATTCTTCTGAGACTTAGACTTCAGAAAATTATTTTGTTGCAATTGCAGCTGCACCCTGTTCTTACTTACTGGTAACATCTTTTAGTGCAAATCTTTCACCAAAGTACTGAAAAAAACCAAATCCTAACATATAGATGCAAATGTAGAAGAAACCACAGGGATTATTTTTTAATACAACTTGTTGTAGGTGTTTGTGTGGGTTTTTTTTAAAGTTAATAGAAGCTTGTACTATGACTGTCTGGATCTATTTTAATAATAACTATAGAAAAGTAAGCAGCCTACCTTGTTTCTCCTTGAAGTATTTGATTATTAGCCATCTCGCCATTATCAGATATTGCATCACTCCTGCTACTTTAAATGAAGTTGAGAAAAAAAAAAAACAAACAATGAAAACTGAGATTATTTTACTCCACTATCAAAATTTTTAAAAGTAACGGGGGCAGGGAATCCATTAAGTCCCATGAATTTCAAGGCAAAACATATAATGGCACATATTTTAACTCTCACAACTTTTCCTTTGGATCAAGGTATGTCTCAGTATTTAGTTACCATGGTAACCCTTAGTGGAATACTACACAACTTCATAGGGAAGTGGTATATAATTCAACAGACATTTAGGCAACAAGAACGGTAACGGAGATTACAGCCGTGTAGCTCAACGGGCATTATGAACCACGTGAATTCAAGATAGGTAGCACATTCTAAGTTTTTTGATTTAGGACAATGTAAATAGGCATTTAACTGCCATGTGTTCACACAAATAATTTACAACTTTCAACTACAGCAGGATAAATTTCCTTACACTGTGCACAAAATAAACTATTTCCTAAAGTAAGAGCGACAAACAGGACCATGTTAGAAAGTAAATTCGACCATATATGCACCTCTAGCTAAGCCAGAAGAAACTGCTCAGACATGCTGATCATCCTAAGAACGTGAATATTTACAGTCACAAATCTGGTGATGGTACATTTTTTTTATACTTCCGTGATATTATAAGCACAGGTATTCTGCTGTGGCATAGTCATTAAATAATGCGATAACAAGATCCAGACACTTCAGTGAAACATTGCTGCAACTAGTTCTGGTAACAGCTTAAACTTCCGCTTTCAACACACTGATGGGTTGAAAACCAAACACAGAGAAGTTCAGACTGCTAAAAATAGAAAATAGATGTCAAAACAAAGGACAGGCTATATACAATAAAGCCCTGCAAAACTAATATGTTAAAAAAAAGTTTTCAAAAATAAGCAAAAATGGCCAACCAAACCAAATACATCAGTCAGAAGGTGTGAAAAAGGAAGGTTCTTAAGCCTTACTGACTGAAAACAAGTGGTAAGTGGCACTTCCATTTTATGGTGTGCAACATACTGGAGTTCCTTATACATTTCTTAAGAGATCAGTTCAAAATAAATTCAATCAGAAAACAAAAGCTTGCACAATAATCTTTTGAACCATGATACCCACTAAAACGGACTTTGGGAAGGGGAGGGGGGATAAAAAGAGAAGGAAACTTCTCTGGGGGTAAATATTATGAAATCTGTTACAAAGCAAGCTGCTCAAACACTGTCAAGGCAAGGAAAGCAAGCTACAAATACTACACACTTTTTAGGAGAGCCCTTAGAAGACATTCCAAACCATCATGTAGAAAGGCTTTCTTCTGTATGCTAAGAGTAAAGAAAAAGACCTAGAAAACGTTTTGTTGAAGCACAAAAATATGGACAGTAATTATTGCAAAAAGAAGGCATGCCCTGGAAAAAAAAAATACTTTCCTTTGCGGCGGGTGGGGGACCAAAAAGAAGATGCATTGTTATACATAAAACACCCTGATTACCTGTTCCCTGTTGAATCTTGGGAAATCTGTAAGTTTGGAATAATGGAAGAAACACCATATTCATCCTGATACTTCTTACACGTTTTATAATGCTGTCTCATCCACGAAAATCTAACCTGTAAATGAAATGCCAAATTATTGAAATTATACTGAACAATCCAGGGACAGAAGGAAGAAAGAATTCTGTCAACAGAAAGCAATGCATGCAGGAATTGTATATGCATCTGTACATTGTATGTACATCATATGCAGCAGAAACCAGAACTTGTGTCTCCCCTCTCCGCGTGAACACTTTCTTCCCCGACAGGACATCTTCAATTCTTTTTTCCATAGAGCCTCTGTCACTCTGTGAGACTGGAGAACATTCCCACACCCCAAACTCCCAACAGCCAGACAACTGAGCGCTCTCTCAGGGGTGAAAGATGCGAGTAAACTCCGTTTAACTGAAACAAAGTCACAGGAACTACACCTCCCACATCCAGGATCAAAGACTGATGAGCTACAACAGAGAGGGGCCATGAGGATGGGACAAGCACCACTGCTCCTTCAGTCTTCTCTGGCCTGCTGTTACCTTGTGCAGAACAAAATCTTTTTGCATTAGGTGTGTTCTGAGAATACATAAATTTTCCCTTTGAGAAAAAAAAATGAGAAGAAGAAAAAAAAAAGGTGAATGAACACCAACTTCTGGCTGCCTATCCAGCTTAAATGCAAGGTAAACCAGTATGTTGCTTAGACTTGTCAGGAGACAGCTGTGCTGGACAGGCCCTAAATTAGAACTTCAGCTCCGAACAGCACTGTCAGAAAGTGCTTGCTTTCAGAGGTTGAACAAGATCCCATCTCAGGCGTCTGTGCCTAAATTCCATTAAAGTTCTGAGGATCTGCTTGGTTCTTCCTTCCAGTTTACCAACTTGTTATTGTTTCTTTCTCCCAGCTCTTCATCCTAACGAATCATGTGGAACAAAGCAAGCAGCTCAGCTTTCCACTAGTGCTAATCTTCACACTGGCAGAACTAAGTCCCAAGTGAAACAGAACAGTAAGACAACTACCTGGATTTGATGCAATTTGATGTAAAAAAAAAAAAAAAAAGTGCGGCTGAAATCCTGCATCCACTTATAGCAGAAGAGAGATTACTTATGTTTTCAGTGGGTGTCAAGATTTTCACCCAATGTTCTCAAAATAACGACCCTTTACAAAGGGATGAAGGGAATGTAAACACACTGATAGGGCAGGGGGTATTACATATGATTGTATGCGCACTGAGAGTAATCAACCTGGGTTTAAATTACATTTTGCAGTAGCTCTAAGCACTTCCATTTCCATAAGGAAAGTTTCTGAGATTTTCCACGTATCTGCAACTTTTGTTTTGAGTTGTCTAACTTTTCTTCTGCCACTTTTACCACTGTATCCAGTTTTTGCATTGTTCTGGGGAAAAACTGGCACTCCACTTAAAAAGTCCTTATACACAATACAAGATCCTCTTCCAGTTTACATCCGTTAGGCATACGTAGAAGGCACTGCATACCTAGTATATACACAAGCCATTCAAAGTGAAGTTCAAACTGCTATAGGCTCTTTAGCTTCAAGACAAGAACAACACACAGCAGAAGTGTGTCTGGTCAAAAATAAGAAAAAATTATCCAACTTTTTGTAAAGTTTTACTCTACCTGCTTCTCACAGCATCTACAGCCCCCAGAAGCTTTCTTCATACTGTTTTCAACATCTAGAGCCCTTTTGGGATATGTTCTTTCTTTTTTAGTCACGCTCCCCCGGCAGAGAGGACAATGTGTTCCACTTTCTCTGATAGCTGTCAAGAAGCACTTCCTGCAAAACCTAAATTAAAAAGTTACCACAAACACAGGTTAGCAAAGTGAAGAGAGTTAGATACTTTGTCCTTGAAGAGAGCTGGGTGATCGTTAGGGGGAAAAAAAAAGATAAATATCAGAGTAAAAGTCTACTGAAAACGAATCTTTATAAAGATAAGCAAAATGAAATAATGGTGCTTATAAAGAAGCATACAGAAATTAGGGGAACTTGGCAACGCACTTTAGGTAAAGATCTTACTATTTACTGACCAGTATTTCTGAGCTGTACACCGGATTGATCATTAATGAGATATTAAATGGTGCAGCAGGCACATGATATTGGGAAAAATCTTATCAGAGGAACTCCTGTTTATTGTCCTTAAGCAGAGCCAAAAATACCGCAAAGCTTCATTTAGCACGCATTTCCAGAGATTTCAGTTCATCAGCTGTTGCAGTTCTCCTCTCTCTTTTCCTCGCGTGTCAACTGCCAAAGCTATTTTGCTTTTCTACAGAGTAGTACTTTGTAATTAGATGTTCCTCTGAAAAATGCATACTGTTCCACTACGAACAGATGGACTGCAAAGAGAGAACAACTATGCTACGGTCCTCGCTTGGAAACGAACAGGAAACTACAAAGTTAAAAAGGCGAGTTAGGTTAGATGGCGTGAGGCGTCTTCATCGGCCGGGAAACTCAGCCACCAGCGACCAGACCACCGGGGGCTTGCTCCAAGAGGTGGCTTTCCTAACTGACCGGTCCCCATTCGCTACAAAAAGAAAGAGGCGAGGGAAGGCTGGGGCAGCGCTGGGCGGGCAAGCCTTAAAGCCAGCCCTCGGCGGCG